CATTTACATTTGCTAAGTCATTTATAATGGAAAGAAAACCAGATAGGATTAGATTTTTCAGTAGTAACATAGAAAGCAACACAATAATGGAGTGATGTTTTTCAAGAAAATAAAGAAAAGAATATGTAGGCAAAGAATCTTATAACCAGAAAGATGCTTCCTACCATGATGGAGAAATAGGTATCAGCTCTACCTCTATCCTTAAACAACTAAAAATGGAGAATTAATATAAATAAAATAAAATATAGATATTATAAAACAGGCAGAAGAAGGCAATGATTCCTGATGGGGGGGCGGGAAATGAGGTTATTGTTGTGCTTACGGCCTGGAGTTTCTGGGTTTCAATACAAGGAGCATGAACTCGAAGAGACAACTGATCTCTCTGAATTGAAGAGACATAGCTAAGATATTTTGGATTCTTCAGTGGCTAGAATTCACAAGTAGATCCTACAGAGGAAAAATGCTACATAGAAAACTCAACTGCAGAAAAGGAGAGAGAGAAAGGGATTATTTTATATCTGAGCATTAATCATTGCATGTATGTGAAAAAGCTGTTCAAAGCTACTAAAGAATCACTAGAAAGGAACAGTTGCAATGTCTTTTGGAACACACACAAAAAAGAAGACTAATTCTTATTTCTGTTAACTGAAATGAAAAAGTTTGTAATATGCAGGTCATCAAAGAGAGTACTCAGAAAGGTATTGCCTTAGCTGTAAGGCAAAATTAGCTCTAGACTGAAGGTTTATCTGAGATTGGCACTCCAATAGCAAAAGATATTGGAAACTAAAAAAAGAAAATTACATATCAGTATTTCTGAAGGACATAAATGCAGAAAGAAAATCTTAACAAATCAACTCCAACGATATATGAAAATAATTATATAATTTCCTTTTTTTTTGGCGGAGTTTCACTCCTTACCCAGGCTGGAGTGCAATGGTGCGATCTCCACTCACTGCAACCTCTGCCTCCTGGATTCAGGCAATTCTCCAGCCTCAGCCTCCTGAGTAGCTGGGATTACAGGCACATGCCACCATGCCCAGCTAATTTTTTTGTATTTTTAGTAGAGACGGGGTTTCACCATGTTGACCAGGATGGTCTTGATCTCTTGTCCTCGTGATCCACGCACCTTGGCCTCCCAAAGTGCTGGGATTACAGGTGTGAGCCACCGCGCCCCGCCTTATAATTTCTTAATGTGTACTTCTATTTGGTTTAAATTACAAAATCAGTGAGTACTATCCATCATATAGCACAATAAAGGAAAAGAAAACTCCATCAATTCAACAGATGGAGAAGAAATATTTGACAAACTTCAACACTTTTTCTCAATATAGAACCTTATCAATCCAGTAACAGAAGGAAATGTCCTCAGGGTGATAAGGTGTATCAGTAAGAAAACTACAGCTGTCATCACAACTTATACTGAAATAATTAATGCTTTCTTCCTAACATAACAAAGCAAAGAGGTTTGTTTTAATAACTCCTCTCTAATATTTTACTGGAAGCCCATTTACTTACTGCCACTGCAATAAGGCAACAGTAAAGCAACAAAATGTTAAAGTCTTAGAGACTGGAAAAGAAGTATTAGAACTGTTTTTTGTTTGTCAATGTCATGATGGTTAAATTTAACAAGGTCACAGGATCTATGGCATCAATATACAAAAAAAAATTGTATTTCTATGTAGTAGCACCAAACATGTTTACAAAAGCATTTATAGTAATAGAAAAAAGATAAATTTATTAGGGCTAAATTTTATAAGGCATGAAAGATATCAACATCACTGAAAAATAAAAACATTGCTCAGACAAATTAAGGATGACCTGAATAAATGTAAATAAATACCATGTTCAGAAAAATGTATTTTTAGATTCAAATTTATTTGTACATCCAGCAAATTCTCAAGTTCTAAATAGTTTTTAGTAGAAATTGGTAAGTCTATTGTATGATAATTTATAGACCCAACACATTTTTAATAAAAATTCTAGTTTTTGTCAAAATTGACAATTGATAATAAAACTTCTATAGTAATGCAAATTTTTCAGGGCCCCTTTAAGAAATCTCAAGAACGGTTCAAGAACAAGATTTTACTTACGATTTGATTTTGAAAAGGCAACACTCTAAAACATGTAAAACACTTTAGTGCTTTTTAAATTGCAAGCTCTTAATTCTCTTAAATAATCAAGGCCATGGCAAAGGTTAACATAAACACAGAAAACTATCTTGATAAGAAACAAAATCTTGCTTTCCTAGGAAGACTGCTTAAAAGGTAAAACAAACAAACAAAAGGACTTTTACTGTAATCCAAGACAACTGGCATTTTCAATAGAAAAAAAAATCTAGTTTTGTATTATTAAAGCACTGGGGCTTGTTTTTTCTTCTTCTTCTTTTTTTTTTTTTCTTTCTGATTCTGGCATAACTAATCATTTTACTTTAGGTCAAAATTACCCTCTCTTTCCCTTAACAAAAAGATATTCCTCATATCTTGCATTCTTTTTCTTAAAAACATGTCATAATTTCTTTGCATACTCTACATACAAAGATGTTTTTCTTCATGCTTGTAGTTTTAATTACATAAATTGATGATAGTTTTTTGACTACTACTAATATTTCTTTTAACAGAGAAAATTAGGAAGAAGATGACTGTAAATTGTCTGTCTTGCATTATGTAGCAGACTAGCAAATCATCTTACAGTTTCGTATAGGTCCATGCTTCCTCATAGCACCATTTTTGTGTGAAAAAATAACATGTTTATTAACAGGCCCAATTATGTTTAGTCTCACTTTAAAAATAAGACGCCAGCAAAATCTATAAAATTAAAAGTAATGCTGAACAATGAATGGTTTAGTAGTTCATCTTACTTAGAAATGACCTAGATATTTAATGAATATCTATAACTTAATTTAGCTTTGAAAAACATTGAAACTTCAAGTTAACAAAAATAATTTGAAAACTGTTTTCAGCATCCATATTGTAACACCAGGCAAAGACAGCCATAATCTTAATTTACTTCTCTGTTAACTGTTTTTACAGTACATCATCAGATTAGGCAAACATCACAGAAGCAAAAGCCAAAAAAGTTCAACATGCAGGTTTTTTGTTTTATGACTATGCTTGAGAAATATGAAGTAATGGGCACCAAGCAACTCTTCTTCACTGCATCTTTGCTTGTACATTTATTCTAACGTCGAATGTATAATTTTTGTAATCCTAAGCATCTAGACAACATATTATTTGATTCAACTAGTAAGCCCAAGTGGAATAAAAATGTACATTTATATACCTAACGCTGATATACCAGCAGATGTAGCTGTTTTTATGAAACCAGCAATATGAAACTAGTTTTAATTGTCAAATATATGTCCATTTCATGTGAATTTGAAATAGCATCTGAATTAGTTTCTGGAAGTTTTAGAAATATTTTCCTTATATAAACACACATTTATCTCTGACAATTAGAATGGAAGTTAAGACATTTTAGGCCAGGCTCACCCCTGTAATCCCGACACTTAAGAAGACAAAGGTGGGAGGATTGCTTGAGCCCAGGAGTTCTACATCAGCCCAGGCAACATAGTGAGACCTATCCCTAAAAAAAAAATTGAAAATTAGCTGGGCATAGTTGCACACACCTGTAGCCCCAGCTACTTGGGAGGCTGAGGCAGGAGGATCGCTTGAATCCAGGAATCTGAGGCTGCAGTGAGCTGTGATTGCACCACTGCACTCCAGGCTGAGTGACAGTGAAATTCTGTCTCAAAAAAACTAAAAGAAAGTACTAAGTAATTTGATAATACCATTCATAAAGAAATCTCATATATATTATGATAACTAATCATGTATATTACATATACATTTATATGTAATATATAGTCTATATATATAAATAGAATGGGATATATGTATATTCTATATACATATATATTCATATATATACATATTCCATATGTGTATATATAGAATATACATACATTGAATATATATTGCATATATATAAATGTAATATATACATATATAATAAGAGAGCTTAAAGGTTTTTACTTTAAAACTTTAGCTGGAAGTCAGACAACACAGTAATACACTCTCTTATTTCCTCTACTTCATAGTTTTATCCATTGTGTTTCTGACAGATGGAACAAGTTAAGGTTACCTTCTCAATATTAGGGCTAAAGCTTTTAGCCAATATTTGTGGAGAAGACATTTAAGATTTTTTTTTATTGCCCATATATGCAATTTATGGAAGCTGTGACTACATTTTAGGCAAGAAACTGAAGGGACGTCAAGCACCTCTCTGGCTGTCTCTAAAGCCTCACCTGGATAAAATATCTTATCTATTTTTCAATCAGTCTTTTTTTTCCCCTTTTCAATCTCAGACAATTGTTTTTGGGGTCCTAGAGTCCCTTGAAACTTATGAGGGAAATAGGAGGCCTGAAGTTCAAGTGACTGAAGGGCTGACGCAGGAAGGGAAAACGTCTGGGAGGACAGGTAGACAGAGGAAAGAGTTCTGAAGAGGCACGTATCAAAAGATTGAAGAAAGCTGAAGGGAAGATTGAAGGTAGTAAATGGATGAAGGAGGAGCAGAAAGAATGGGAAGGGAAAGATCTTAGAGGACTCACTTCGGGGAAATCTTCAGTTTCCCAAAGAGATTCTGAAGTCTCAAATTATCCTCAGCAAAATCATGACCACAAGAAAGGAAGTGGACAGAGTTAATGGAGTATATAATCAGTAAGGGTTTAAGAAGGAGCTTTCAGTTGACTGAAAAATTACCATGGGAGACACAGAACAGAGATGCCTCAGAAAGAACCAAGGAAAATATTTCGGTTCAAGGATTCAAGATATAAATTCCCACTCAAAGACAGAAATAGGGAGTAAGACTTATAAACCACCCAGTAGCTTCCTAACAAAGAAGCATGTGACTAAACCAACTTCTTACAAAAAGTAACTTAGGACTAACTCAGCCTCTGTGTAGTGTACTCAGACTCTCTCTGCCCTCACTCTGTGCTTCAACAGACTGTCATTTGGAGCACTGACTCAGGAGTCAAAATCACCAATGGCTCATCCATCAATCAATCGGAAGTGAAGACAAAAGCTTCAAAGGTACGTGGTTGGGATTTTGAGTGAGAAGATCGGGGGTCAAATAATGAATTTGGTCCTATGCAAATCACAGCAGCAAAATCTATTAAAGAAAAAATTATAACACTTGTTAAAGATGGCAAGTTAGACTTTATTCAAGGGATTTCAAGGGACTACTACCATGGGTATTGAAGTAGAAGAGATTATTCTCAGTGCTGAATACAACAAAGTTGGAATTCACGGCCGAGGAAGAGAATGCAAGTTAGCGGTTTGAAAAATCATTAAGAGAGTCGGATAATATTTTGCTAAACTGACTTAAAAGGATTCTTACTGATTGCAGGCCAAGGTGATTAGATGTTACCTGGGAGATAGTTGTGAGTGAGAAATTTGATTAGATATTGAAGGATCAGATATGGAGGCTGGGGAACTCTGGCTAAACTGATTTGACAGGATATGGAAATTGTCCTCTCATCGACAAAATTATGAGCCATTGAAGTTCCCAAGAGTATACTGTCTTGATGGTGCAAATGCAAGAAGAATCCAAAGTAGTGATAAGCATGAGCCTGTTAGAAATATACTTGAAATATGGAATCACAGCTTACAAGATGGATATGTTGCAGATTTAGGCATGATGCTTGGGAAGCAGTTGATGAGAGATTGTAGAATCATTCTGTATTTCAAGGAATTCGTTCATTTCATCTGCTGTCAAATTTATTGGCATATTTCTTTTTTAAAAATATACCATTATCCTTTAGAATCTTTAGTGATATGACACCTGTCTCATTCATGATATTAATAATGTCTGTTCTCTTTTCTTAATCTATTGGCTAGAAGAATATATATATTATTGATCTTTTTGGAGGGCCAACATTTGTTTCTATTTTTTTCTTATTCATTGATTTTTACTTTTACTTTTATCATTTTTGTTCTGTTTACTTTTTGCCTAATTGGGTTTTTGTAGCTTACTTTTGGATTAGTTGCCCTTTTTTCCTAATTTCTTTTAAAATTATTTTTATTTATAAATGACACAATTTTTCATATTTATGGGGTACAGTATGATATTTCAATGCATGTGTATACATTGAACAATTATCAAATTAAAATAATTAGCATATCTGTCACTTTAAACAGTTTTTTTGTGGTGATAACATTCCAAATCTCTTCAGGATATCTTGAAATATACACTGCATTGTTATTTACTGTAGGCACCCTAATGTGCAATAGACTGCAAGAAATTATTCTTCCTGTCTAATTGTAATTGTATCTCTTAGCAATACAGCTTCCATCTCCCTTCCCCAGACTCCAGTAATCACTATGCTACTCTTTGTTTTTATGAGTTCAGCTTTTTTAGATTTCACAAATAAGTTAGGTCACACAGTCTTTGTCTTCTTGTGCCTGGCTTACTTCACTTAACATAACACACTCCAGGTTCATCTGTTTTGCTGCCCAAGTAGCAGGATTTCATTATATTTTATGGCTAAATGGTATTCCATTGTGTGCATTTATATACACACACACATGATACCTCTCTAACATATTGATTTGTCTTCTCTTGGATGTATATTCAGTAATGGGGATACATTGTGAACGTTTGTGTATACTTTCAATTTCTTTAAATGTATTGAGACTTGTCTTCCCCAAATCTGGCCTGTTTTAGAAAATCTTCCATGTGCATTTGAAAAGAATATATATTCTGCTTGATATGGTTTGGCTCTGTCCCCACCCAAATGTCATCTTGAATTGTAATTCCCACCATTCCCATGTGTCATGGGAGGCAACAGTGAAGGGTAATTGGATCATGGGAGCAGGTCTTTCTCATGCTGTTTTCATGATGGTGAATAAGTCTCACAAGATCTGATGATTTTGTAAAGAAGAGTTCCCCTGCACAAGATCTCTCTCGTTGCCTAATGCTATCCATGTAAGACATGACTTGCTCCACCTTGCCTTCCACCATGATTGTGAGGCCTCCCCAGCCATGTGGAAATGTAAGTCCATCAAACCTCTTTCTGTCTAGTTTTGAGTATGTCTTTATTAGCAGTGTGAATATGGACTAATACAGTAAATTTGTACCAGTAGAGTGGAGAGCTGCTGAAAAGATACCCAAAAATGTGGAAGCAACTTTGGAAATGGGTAACAGGATGGGGTTGGAACAGTTTGGGAGGCTCAGAAGAAGACAAAAAACGTGGAAAATTTGGAACTTCCTAGATAAGTTTTGAATGGCTTTGCCCAAATTTCTGATAGGAATATAGACAATGAAATATACATTGAGATGGTCTCAGAGAAGAAAAACTTGTTGGGAACTGGAGCAAAAGAGACTCTAATTATGTTTTAGCAAACAGACTGGTGGCATTTTGTCCCTGTCCTAGAAATTTATGGAACCTTGAACTTGAGAGAGATGATTTAGGGTATGTCATGAAAAAAATTTCTAAGCAGAAAAGCATTCAAGAAGTGACTTGAATGCTGTTGAAGACATTCAGTTTTATAAGGGAAGCAGAGCATAAAAGTTCAGAAAATTTGCAGCTTGACAATATGATAGAAAAGAAAATCCCATTTTCTGGAGAGAAATTCAAGCCAGCTGCAGAAATTTGCATAAGTAGCAACAAGCCAAATGTACACCAAGACAATGGAGAAAATGTCTCCAAGTCAAGTCAGAGGTCTTCACAGCAGCCCCTTGCATCACAGGACTGGAGGCCCAGAAGGAAAAAATGTTTCATGGGTCAAACCCAGGGTCCCAGTGCTATGTGCAGTCTAGGGACTAAGCGCCCTGTGTCCCACCTGCTCCAGCTATGGCTGAAAGGGGCCAACATAGAGCTTGGGCCATGGCTTTAGAGGGTGCAAGCCCCAAGCCTTGGCAGCTGCCATTTGGTATCAAGTCTGCAAGTGTACAGAAGGCAATAATTAGATTTGGGGAACCTCTGCCTAGATTTCGGAGGATGTATGGAAATACCTGGATGCCCAGGCAGAAGTTTGTTACAGGGGTGGGGCCCTCATGGAGAACCTCTGCTAGGGCAGTGCAGAAGGGAAATGTGAAGTCAGAGCCCCCACACTAAGTCCCTACTGGGGCACTGCCTAGTGGTACTGTGAGAAGATGGCCACTATCCTCCCAGAATGGGAGATCCACTGACAGCTTGCACCATGCACCTGGAAAAGCCACAGGCATTTTATGCCAACCGAAGGAGGCAGCCAGGAGGGAGATGTATCTTGCAAAGCCACTGGGGCAGAGCTGCTGAAGGCCATAGGAACCAACCTTTTGCTTCAGCATGACCTAAATGTGAGACATGAAGTAAAAGGAAATCATTTTGGAGCTTTAAGATTTGACTACTCTGCCAGATTTCAGACGTGTGTGGGGCCTGTATCCCCTTTATTTTGGTGAATTTCTTCTATTTGGAATGGCTGTATTTACCCAATGCCTATACCTCCACTGTATCTAGGAACTAGCTTCTTTAATTTCACAGTCTTATAGGCCAAAGGTACTTGCCTTGTCTCGGATGAGACTTTGGACTCTGGACTTTTGAGTTAGTGCTGAAATGAGTTAAGACTTTGGGGAACTGTTGGGAAGGAAGGATTGGTTTAGAAATGCAAAAACATGAGATATGGGGAAAGGCAAGGGCAGAATGATATGGTTTGGCTGGCTCCCTACCCAAATCTCATCTTGAATTGTAACTCCTGCAATTCCCACATGTCATGGGAGGGACCCAGGGAAAGGTAATTAAATCATGGGGGCAGGTCTTTCTTGTGCTGTGGGGGCAGGTCTTTCTTGCAATAGTGAAAAAGTCTGATATCTGATGGTTTTATGAAGAGTTCCCCTGCACAAGCTCTCTTTTTACCTACTGCCATCCATGTAAGATGTTATTGGCTCCTCCTTGCCTTTCACTATGATTGTGAGGTTTCCCCAGCCATGTGGGACTGTAAGTCCATTAAACCTCTTTCTGTTGCAAATTGCCCTCTTTATTTTTTTATTTTTTTTTTGAGACGGAGTTTCGCTCTTGTTACCCAGGCTGGAGTGCAATGGCACATTCTTGGCTCACCACAACCTCTGCCTCCTGGGTTAAAATGATTCTCCTGTCTCAGCCTCCCAAGTAGCTGGGATTACAAGCATGTGCCACCATGCCCAGCTAACTTTTTTTTGTATTTAGTAGAGACAGGGTTTCACTATGTTGGCCAGGATGGTCTCGATCTCTTGACCTCGTGATCCACCCACCTTGGCCTCCCAAAGTGCTGGGATTACAGACGTGAGCCACCGCACCCAGCCCTGCCCTGTCTCATGTATATCTTTATCAGCAGCATGAGAACGGATTTATACACTGCTATTGTTGGGTGGAGTGTTTCATAAATCCCTAATAGATTAATTTATTTGATAGTGTTTTAAATATATTTGACATATACTGCTTTTGTATTTCATATCCAGTCAATTTAATTTAAAAAATCCTTTATTTCAATATTCACTTATTGAAAATGAATGAATTTATTTATTCTCTTTCTTTCCTTTTGTCCTCATTTATTTATTACTTTTTTTTATCCTTTCCCTTATGTTAGTTTTTGCTTCAGGTATTTTGAAACTCCTATTTATTGCATGTACATTTATACTTCCTTTGAAAAACTGATACTTTCATCATTTATTCAGCTAATATTTACTCTGTATGATATTAATATATCCAGTCCAGCTTTCTTTTGATTAATATTTATCTCTATCTTTCCTTTTCTTATTATCTCATTTTTCTCTTTATCATTAAAATGAGTTTCCTGTAGATAGCTCTATCGGTTATCTACTGTTGCCAAAGAAAGCACTCTGAAATTTAACGGTTTAAAACATCTATGATCTCACTTTTCCTGTGAGTTAGAATTTTGAGAGCAGTTTGCTTTGTCCCTCTCTCTGTGCTTAATTTGTATTATTTCTACTGTTGTATCTTCAGAGGCTCATCGCTTCTCCTGCCATTTCTTATCTACTGGCCAGTTTGTTTGCACTTCACACATAATATTTTTCCTGTCTAGAAATTCTGTTTTTGTTTTTATTTAAATATCTCTTTTCTCTCCTTAAAATTGTCATTGTTCTTCTTCTTTGAGCTTATGAGACCTATTTATGATAGTCTTTTTAATTAATATCCTTTTTCTTTTTTTTTCTTTTGAAAGAGAGAAAGAAAGAAAGAGAGAAAATGGAATGAAGAAGAGGAAAAAAGAGGAAGAGGAGGAGGGAGAGGGAATGGGAGTGTTGTTTAGTTGCCCCAGGCTAGAATGCAGTCTAAAAATGGGTTTTGAAAACCTCCCTTATACCATCAGTCGTGCTTAATAATGGCCAACCAATATTTCATTTAAACCTGTGAGTAAGTGTGATGTGGTACTGATAAGAGTGCATATCTTGTGTGTTTTAAGTGGAGAGTTCTATAAATATTTATTAAGTTTACTTGTTCCAGATCTGAGTTCAAGTCCAGGATATTCTTATTAATTTTATGTCTCATTGATCTATCTAATATTGATGTTGAAATCTCCCACTACTACTGTGTGGCAGTCCAAGTCTCTTTACAAGTCTTATGTATCCTGTATTGAGTGTGTACACATCCAGGATCATCAGCTCTTCTTGTTGCATTGATTCTTTTACCATTGTGTCCTCTTTTGATCTTTGTTGCTTTAAAATCCATTCCATCAGAGGTGAGAATTGCAATCTCTTCTTTTTATTTATTTATTTATTTTTGCTCTCCATTTGGTTGACAAATCTTTCTCCATCCCTTTGTTTTGACTCTTTATGTATCCTTGCATGTAAGATGGGTCTGGATGCAGCATACTGATGGGTTTTGGTTGTATCTTTTGATTGGGGGATTTAGTCAATTTAAATTTAAAATTATTACCATTTGATGTTAGCTGGCTATTTTGCCCATTAGTTGATATAAATTCTTCATTATGTTGGTACTCTTTACTTTTTGGTATATTTTTGGAAAGGCTAATACTGGTTGTTCCTGTCTATGTGTAATGCTTCTTTCAGAAGCTCTTGTAAAGCAGGCCTGGTGGTAATGAAATCTCTGAGTACTTACTTATTCACAAAAGATTTTATTTTTCCTTCAATTGTAAAGCTTAGTTTGGCTGGATGTGAAATTCTGGGTTGAAAGTTCTTTTCTTTAAGGATGATAAATATTGGCCCCCCTCTCTTATGGCTTGTAGGGTTTCTGCTGAGAGAACTGCCGTGAGTCTGATAGGCTTCCCTTTATGGGTAGGACAATATTCAACTCCAGATAATATAGAGAACACCACAAAAATAGTCCTCAAGAAGAGCAACCCCAAGGCACATAATCATTAGATTCACCAGGGTTGAAATGAAGGAGAAAATACTAAGGGCAGCCAGAGAGAAAGGTCAGGTTACCCACAAAGGTAATATCCTTTTTCTTTTAATTCTATCGTGTCAGTTATATCTTGATTTTTTTCTCTCTGATAAGTTTCAGCCTAGTTATGGAGCATATTGTCCTTTATTTAAATGGTAATTTTGACTAGGTCCTGGATATTGTGATTTTTATGTTCTTAAGTTCCAGATATCATGCTAGAAGTGTAAAGAGTGCTATAATTTGTAGTAGTATGGAGTTAAGTTATGCAAAATCATTTGGTGCTATTGATGCTTGTTGTTAAGCTTTTGTTAGGACAAGCCTAGAAAGTATTGGACTAAATACTAAGGCAATATGCTTCTGAGTATTCTTTTTATTGTTGTTTGTTTTGTGACAGGGTCTTACTCTGTTGCCTAGGCTGGAGTGCAGTGACACAATTACAGATCACTGCAGGCTTGACCTCCCATGGTCGAGCAATGCTCCTGCCTCCATCTCCCAATTGTAACCAAGAAGTTTTGAAACATATGTTTGGATTTACCCCCACAGCTTTAACTTCTTTGTGACTTTTGTTTACTCAGATTCCCAGTTAAATGTTTTCAGTGACGTCTACGCTAAGATTAATATTAGGCCCATAATTCTGCTTTTTTTCCCATTATTGTTATACTACAATATGAGAAGTAAATGTTACCTTAAAGTTATATCTCACTGATGACAGTTATTTTTGTACTGTTTCTCATCAGAGGCTTGGTTTTTTTATATGTTTATGACCAAAGTTCATCGTTTTTCATCAGTAACTATGAGGCTTGCTTTTTATTTTTATTTACTCTACATTAATATAAACCATTGCATTGACCTTATATTAGCATATTAATGATCTGTGCCAATCTTACATGTGAAATTGGGAACAGAATTGTAATGCAAACATTTGAAAGATGAGATTCTACAAAGACCTGGCTTTTATATATATGATGTAAGAAATATTTGCATCCCAAACCACCTGTTAGTAATCCTGTGCCTTTTTTCTACAGAAGAGAATGTTTAAATTTCATCAAATGAAACATATTTTTGAAATACTTGATAAAATGAGATGCCTGCGAAAACGTTCTACAGTGTCATTCTTGGGAGTTCTTGTTATTTTTCTCCTATTTATGAACTTGTACATTGAAGATAGCTATGTTCTGGTAAGTTTTGGAGGTTGATTGTCTTTTTTTCAAAATAAGGCGTAAGTCAAACAAGGATTAGTCCCATTGTAACCTAACTTCAATCTCAAGCTATCAGAGAAGACTTAGTTTGAACAAAATTGTAAAATGTATATTGTCTGTCTTTCTTTTGTACTTACCATACTTCAACATTACACTTGTTTTGATTTATGTTCCAATACTTTTAGTGCTGTATATTTTGTGCTCCAAATATGTACATGTAATTACAAATAAGTTATCCATCATCACTATGCAAAATTAATATTATGTGGAACCATTAAGATTTGAGGGTTTTCATTTGAAATATATAGAATAAACATAATCTGTTTAGAAAGTATGACTCTTTACTTGCTCTACTTTCCTATATTATCACTGAAATTTTCAAAATCCCATTGTCTAACGATGCTTTTTAATTGGGCTATTTCTATAAGTAATATTTTATTACGATGTGTACCACCTTATTTGGATTTTGAATAGACCTAGATGATCACTCTGTTTTGTATTCATCTCACTGAAAAGATCTTAAGAAAGATATTGATGTGTAAATTATTCAGTAATTAAAAGGAAGTACCAAATATTGGTAGGTAATTACATATTAGTCGCTTTTTTAGGGAAAATTTGACAATATGCAAAAGGACTTATTCTAATTATGAAAATTAATCTGTTCATTTCAAGTTTTATTATATGTCTGATGAGATTAATATGGACATTATTGCTATTCGCTTTATCTATCTTAATGGAGTCTAAAATATGTCCAAATTTGTATGTTATTATTAAAATTTATAGATTTCAGAAAATCAAAACCTGATTACAGTTATATATTTCAGAATCAAAACCTTTACAACTAACAGGTACTCAAAAGTGATTTTCACATGCAAAAATACTGAGAGTTTAAATTATTAGCATCTTAACAAGAGACAGAGCATTTCCAAAAAAACAAAAGCTTTAGTTTATTAGCTGAACATGATTGGTCTATTATTTGCCAGATACTATGCTATATCCTATGAGCCAACCATACGATTTTACTTGGTACAGAAATTCCTAGGAAGTCCTCTGTAAAACATCTTGCATCCTTTAGTTCTGTTCTTTGATGATGAACATGTGCCAGAATCCTGGATTTTGACTCTGCCTAGGCTTTTTGTCTTCAGATAGTCGTTCTAATGTTGTGGAACCTTAATGCTTCTTTCCACAGTCAATCCACAATGGCTGAAATCACCATAGGTTAACAGTAGGATTTGAGTAGGCATGATTTAGGGAAACATAGCAAACAGGAGAAACATACTAATGTTATGCATTTTTGAATATTTTTAAAACCTATTAGTTGTATGAGATATAAAAAGGACAACAGAGCAAGGACCATGTGTTCTTGCTATTTTTTTCTTAATATAATAAAAGATCATAAGTTAACTAGAGATTCTCTTGATTAATGATTCAATTTTATAATAACAATTTATTTACTGGTTCTGTGTCTACTGGTAGAAGTAAATCAAATCTTGTAAATCAAATACGTGTTTTTGATTGGAGACTTGCTACTTGTTGAATTTCTAAGACAGTTTTGAGTACAATTTTAATCTTTCACTTTCAACAAATCCAAAGGACCATTATATGCACCAAATGCTCTTATGTCTTTTAAAATAGAAACTGCTGAAATTCACTGTAAAATGAGTAAGAAGTAGTAGAGTAAATGTCAATAAGAAAATAAAATACTATTTTTCTGTTTTGCAAATTTTTACAGCACTATCTAAATATTGGTCCTAGCCACCAAATGTAGATAATACAATTCAATGAAGTAGCTCTTTTACTAAAGATACTTCCTCAATGAAATTTCTCTGATTATATTAGGCATATATCTACTCAAGTTTGCAAATCAGTCCAGCTGCAGAAAACAGATTGCTTCATAGCTTTTAAAAATTATTTTAATATAATTACAAACTTTGGAAAAAAAAACGAGTCCAGTGATCGTTAGATCCCAACACCCATCCCTTGTGGCAAATCTGATTATAGTATTTTTACTATTTAACAATTTACTGATTTTTTTAACTAAATTGCATTTTAACTGAATTTTACTTCAAGACTGTAAATTAAAAACTTTTTAAATGATTAATGTTAAGTTGCATTACAATTATTCTTCTAAAAATGAATAGTATCCATGGAAAACTGGCCCCCTCCAAGAATATAATGCAGTTGCTTTTCAACACTTCTCACTTTTGATCGTTTCACCTGTGTTTATTTCATTTTTCATAAAATTATCTGATATCATTCTTCTTCTTTCTTCCAGATTATCACAATGTATGCAATTTGCTAAGTGTAGACATTAGTATATCTTTCATTTTTGTCTTCCTTTTTTAAAAACTAGGAAATAGTACTTCTAATTTGGACATATCAGGTGAATAGTTAGAAGTAGTAAGGTCTCTGGAGTTAGTGAACATATTCTATTCTGCTCTTTTTGTTAGAAAATCCATTTGTGGCCTGAAATCTTGGGCATATTGGCAGTTTAGTATATTCGCTTATGTATTCAAGATATATGTGCCTTTAAGTGAAAAAGAATCTGCACTTAGTGTATGTAAGAGACAAATACCATTACAAGGCAAACTAAGTAGAAGAGACACTGCATGCCCAATCAACTTAGCCTCTTGGCTGTGAGCATCTTCAAAGTAGCCACAAGGGTATATATTTAGTCTGTAGCTAGTTCATTAAATTGCATTCCCATCTAGAAAATGATTGTCATAAAGCTTTGTCTTATTACTAAGCTATATACTACAGCATAGTAGCTACAGAAAGAAAGTATCTAGGGAGAGCCTGGCTGTTCAGGTAGATGCCTCTGGAAAGCAGCCAATAAGGCTGACTCAGGTGAAAGTTGCACTATTTATTTATGCTGAAAAGTCTAAAAAAGCTTGTTCTTGAGAATTTAATAAAATGATTTCATATAAGTTCCATTTCTTGTTATATTCTGTTATGTCCTTAAATCAGAATGAATGTACTTCATCTTAGAACACAAAATACCTAGATTTTATGTGTTCAGGATAGAATTTTTAAGGAGATATTAAATATCCAGCACTTACTTTAAAATGTAACATCACATACGAACAGAATGGTAAAATGAACTTAGTGCTGTGACTACTGTACCTGTTATAGAAGTTTCTTCCTATGTACACCACTGTATTAGTATTAAAATAATTGATACTAAACTGAGTCACTGATTACTTTTTAGCAGTTCTAAATTTGTTTATTTTAAACTTCAATGATGTTTAATGGGTTTGCAGACAGACACCAATGAAAATATTTTTGTGTAAAAACTTAAAATTGGCAGAATTTAATAGATAGTAAATTAGTATGTTTCCAAGTAATTTAGCATCTAAGGTTTAACCTCAAGTACTTTGAAAGTTTATGGCTTCTACACATGGCAGCTACATTGTGAACCTTATAAAGGACTAAAGTATGTCTTGGTCCAAATTATCAAGGCAGTATAAAATAGAGAAATACACTATTAAATACCAAATTTAGATTTATAAACATAATCAGATATACAGAAAATATATTCAGAATGAATCTTGATTTAGTAAGGACCAAGCCTCCAATTAAAGTCCCTATTCTCAGTTTTTATTCCAAGAATATTCAAGTCTGGCCATAGATTTGAAAGTTTGAGATAGTCATCTTTTTCACTAGTATTTGAGATTGATGTGAAGTATTGAATGTTTCAGTTGAGGTAAAACTTATATTTTGAGCTTTCTCTAATTTTTTAGAACAAGGCTTTAATTAACATTTTAATGACCAGAGCAAAATAGTATCCAGACCAAAGTTATTTAATCCATTTATTTTCTCTACAGTCTTAATGGCTAGTGCATGCCTAGCTTGATATTCTATACTGAGTGAAATAAATCCACATAAGGCCAGCATGGTGGCTCACATCTATAATCCCAGCTCTTTGGGAGGCTGAGGTGGGCATATCATTTAAAGTCAGGAGTTTGATACCAGCCTTGCCAACATGGTGAAACTTCATCGCTACTAAAAAAATACAAAGATTAGCCAGGTGTGGTGGTGTGCACCTGTAATCCCAGCTACTCAGAAGGCTGAAGCAGGAGAATGGCTTGAACCCAGGAGATGGGGGTTGCAGTGAGTAGTACCACTATGCTCCAGCCTGGGTGACAGAGCCAGACTCTGTCTCAAAAGAAATAAATACATAAATAAAATTTAAAAATAAATAAGTAAATAAATCCACATAACACCACATAGTAGAATGCACATTTTGCAAAATAGAAAAATAAAAAAGAGAGAAACATTTCTTTCTAATTATGTTTCTCTCAAACACATTCTACGAATTCTAGTAAATCACATACAAGCCAAATAGTCATTTTTATAATAGTATATGAACAATAAAGGCTTCATCAAATGATGATTAGATAAGCAAAATTTACCAATTAGCTTATATCAAAGAAGGGCAGCTAATGACTAAAGAATATTTAACCTGAATATGAATATGTTTTCCTAAAGATGTAATGATATACAAAGTCTGACACCAAATAAATAAAAGAGTTCTAAAATATAAAAGGATCAGACATTACATCCAATGGAATCACACACACACACACACACACACACACACACACTTACTATTATGAGGAATTTTAGTCCAAGATTTCTACACATTACCTTGATTTGGTGGTACAAATGTATCCTAGTAGAAGTTACTTTAGGACATATGAAAATAATTACTGCAATATCACCCAAAACTGGCCCTTCTCAACAGCTACATAGTAGCCACGTAAGAGACTTATCTAATAAAGTATCCAAAATTCAGTTATTGTGTCCTCTACTGCATCTTCTTAATTATTCCTAAAGCTTCACCATCATGAAGACACCTATGTAATCTTTTATTTGACAGTGCTTGAGGAAGAGTAAATAAGGCAATGTGGTGGTAACTAGCCTCAGATTAAATTATAGATTACTGTCAATTTTGAGATCCCTAAATGATTGTAAAACATTTGAAAACTAGCATAAAGGCAGTGAGAGTTTTCATGTAGAAACTCTACATGAAAGAGAATGCCATTATTAATGTGTCCTGTAGAAAAACAAATATAACTGTGGTCTACATAGTAAAATAGGCCAGCCAGCAACTGGAGCAGAACCTCCGGGTAAAAAAATGAGTGAGTTACAGCTTATGATGTCAGTAATTGAGATTTATATAACCCTGCGTACTATATATTGTAGTGTACATTTATTGTGTAAAAAATAAACTTTATTTAATCCATGACCGTCTATTATTTAGATATTTTCTTTGCCTCTTTCTTGGCATTTAGGAAGGAGACAAACAACTTATAAGGGAAACATCCACACATCAACTGAATTCAGAACGCTATGTTCATACTTTCAAGGATTTATCAAATTTCTCAGGAGCCATAAATGTCACCTATCGCTACTTAGCTGCCACACCTTTACAAAGAAAGCGTAAGTATCCTTAAACATTTAAATAAAGAATACATAAAATATTTTGCATTAAAATAATGACAATTAGTTTTATATGTATAGTAAAAACAGGCTTAAGGGCTTTACTAATATAATAAATTCTTTGGGAAAAACTTTAATGTTTCTTCACAAATTACAACTACTGTGCTTGCTGACCTAATACTCTTAATAACAATAAAGTTAAATAAAATGCCTAATCGTAATGTGATACTTTTGAGATTTTGTTGTAGGATGGTATAGAGCAACTATAAAAAAAATTACTTTAAAATTTAGAAGTTAATTTTAAAAATTCCTATGTTCATATTGCCACATTTCCCAATCTCTGTTTGATTTTATGACATGCCACAACTTTTGAATTAATGAAACTCAGTGTTTTAGTTCCCTAAGTCTGCCATAACGAATCTCCACAAAGTGAGTGGCTTTAAAAAACAGCAATTTATTCTCTCATGGTTCTGGAGGACAGAGGTTGAAATCAAGGTGCTGGCAGGACCCCACTCCCTTGGAAAGTTCTAAGGGAGAATCCTCGCCTCATCCAGCTTCTGGTATCCTTTGGCTTTGGAGCAGCACTCCAATTTTTGCATCCATCATCAATTACCTTCTTCCCTTTGCCTTTCGGTGACTTTTCCTCCTTTTATAAGGACACAAGTTATTGGATTTAGGGTCCACATCTAAATCCAGAATTATTGCATCTCAAGATCCTTAACAAATTATATCTGCAAAGATCCAATTTACTAATAAAATTACATTCTGAGGTTCCAGGTAGACACAAATTTTTGGAGGAAACTGTTTAACATACCACAGTCAGTTAAAAAAAAGTATATGTATATGTACTTTTATATATATATATATTTGGAGCCAAGAAGTAATATACTATATTTCTAGGTATCATAGCTTATAAAAAGTAGCATTATCTAATTAGTGTACCACTAAGAAGGTATAAGTATTACAAACTTTAATTATAATGCTATTAATTATAGTATGCAGCCTGATTTTTAAATGTTTCACTGTGTAAAATACAAATCTTAAGCTGGGTTTGATGGTTCATGGCTGTAATCCCAGCACTTTAGGAGGCTAAGGCAGGTGCATCACTTGAGGCCAGGAGTTCAAGACCAGCCTGGCCAAAATGGCGAAACACCTTGTCTACTAAAAATACAAAAATTAGCCAGTCGTGGTGGTGCGCACATTAATTCCAGCTACTCAGGAGGCTGAGGAGGCCTAGGCACCAGAATTGCTTGAACCTGGGAGGTGGAGGCTGCAGTCATCCAAGGTCTTGCCACTGCATTACAGCATGAGTGACAGAGCAAGACTCTATTAAAAACAAAAACAAATAAAAAACAAAATCTTAGAATGAAATACAGTGCTATTATATTAATAAATTATGTGGAGACCACAAAAATTGACTTCTCTTTTAAGACTTATTTATGTGAGTGTATTTGTTATCACTAGGTCAAGGAAATTGTTGAATTAATTTAGATTTCTTAAGATCTCATTTCCTTTCATTCTACCATTTCAAATGTCTACTATTCTTAGGCTTCTTTCTACTTGCCTAAGACTGCCATTCGCTCATCATCACTGATTATTAGAGAAATGCAAATCAAACCCACATTGAGATACCACGTCATGCCAGTTAAAATGGCGATTATTAAAAAATCCGGAGACAACAGATGCTGGAGAGGATGTGAAGAAATAGGAACACTTTTACACTGTTGGTGGGAGTGTAAACTAGTTCAACGATTGTGGAAGACAGTGTGGCACTTTCTCAAGAACCTAGAAATAGAAATTCCATTTGACCCAGTAATCCCATTACTGGGTGTATTTCCAAAGGATTATAAATCATTCTATTATAAAGACATGTACATTCATAGTGGCACTGTTTACAATAGCAAAGACCTGTAACTAACCCAAATGCCCATCGACGATAGACTGGACAAAGAAAATGTAGCACATATATACCATGGAATACTATGCAACCATAAAAAACAATGAGTTCATGTCCTTTGTAGGGACATGGATGAATCTGGAAACCATCATTCTCAGCAAACAGACACAAGAACAGAAAATTGAACCCCGCATGTTCTCACTCATAGGCAGATGTTGAACAATGAGAACACATGGACATAGGGAGGGGAGCATCACACACTGGGGTCTGTTGGGGTGGGCCAAGGGAGGGACAGCGGGGGATTGGGTAGGCTGGGGAGGGAAACATGGGGAGAAATGCCAGATATAGGTGACGGGTGGATGGAGACAGCAATTGCCATGTGTGTACCTATGCAACAATCCTGCATGATCTGCACATGTACCCCAGATCTTAAAGTACAATTTTAAAAAAGCTAAAGCAAATACCATTTTAAAAAATACTGCCATTCATTTTTCTTCTCTGTTATACCACCTTTGCTTAAACATTACTGATTCTCCTTTCCCATTCTAAATTTATTAATGTTTATTGGCACACGTCAACTGCTTTCTACCAGAGGCAATGTAACACAGAGGATAAAGGAGTGGAACAGTTTGAATCCTGATGCAACATCACCTACTATGTGTACCGCCTTGCACAAGTCACCTTATCTCACTGTGACTTAGTGTCCTTGTCTGTAAAGCAGAATGATGGTAACAGCAAACCTATCACAAAAGACCATTTTGACCATTTAAGAGGCATATTACAGATAAATGCCACAACTCCTGCCTCTTATGTAAGCAGCATATTATAAGCATTGGCTATTATTATTAATGAAGTTTGGTGGCTTAAAGTTTAATGGTACCAGGTAACAGAAGTCAGAATTGTAAGCCAATGTATTTAAACAAAATGTGTAAACCACAACCTCTCTGACAAACAAAATTTTTTTTTGAATGGGGCTTCTTTCAGTATCTTACAAACCACATTATGTAGGTGTCTATATTAAAACAATTATCTTACTGCATATAAAAATTTCCCCATTTTCCAAATAGTGGTTGAGAAATGTTATTCAATTCTGATTCATATGAGAATGAGCTTTAAAAAGTGAAAATATTTTAATAGAATTACATCTAACACTTCTCAGTGCAAACTGTCTTTTCTCAGGGTTTTATTTTATTCTCTATACATATTCTAATTGCTAATTTTAAATGTCTGCATAAAAATTTATCCAGGCAAAATTAGTATAAAATGTGTTTCAAACTTTTTTTTTAAGAAGTGATGCTTATGTCTTAGAACAATGTAATTTAAGAGTTAGCTGGATGTGGGCTGGGGGCAGTGGCTCACGCCTGTAATCCCAGCACTTTGGGAGGCCGAGGTGGGTGGATCACGAGGTCAAAAGATCGAGACCATCCTGGTCAACAAGGTGAAACCCCGTCTCTACTGAAAATACAAAAATGAGCTGGGCATGGTGGTGCGTGCCTGTAGTCCCAGCTACTCGGGAGGCTGAGGAAGGAGAATTGCCTGACTCCAGGAGGCGGAGGTTGCGGTGAGCCGAGATGGTGCCATTGCACTCCAGCCTGGGTAACAACAGCAAAACTCCGTCTCAAGAAAAAAAAAAAAAAAAGAGTTAGCTGGATGTATCTTATATTATTGTTTGCTTTCTAATTAATATAATAGGTACATTTCAATATAAAATTTTGAAGTCTCATTGTATACAATATGATGACAGAAAAAAAACTGAAAATATGTGATGTGTTCTATAAAAAATTTAAAGATGATTGAAATAATTACCTTATTTTTCTTTTTTAATAATTTAAAACTACTTTCTTGGTCTTAACTGTGAGTGCTCTTCTCTTTTAGCAAAACAGAAAAGCAATTTACTTACTTTATTTTTAAAAAGTAATTTGTATGTTATCTAAATACCTGTCTACCTTCTCTAATGGGTGGATATGAGATTATTAAGCTGCAGAACACTTTAAACCACTTTTTTAGCATTTCATGAATAAAAATTCACAGCAATAGGGCTTATATATTATTGTGCTTAAGATGCTATTTATTTTTCATATAAAATATAAACAATGAACTAAGCATAGCTTTTATATATTTAGCTTATTTAATCATAAAATATTCTGTGCATAGTCATTTACTAGATTTACTTAATATGTAATAGTAGCAAGTCTAAGGAATAAATATTTCTATTTTTCTTATTCTAGTTCACATTTATATTCTTTCTGAATTATTTTTTGCAGGTTATCTTACAATTGGACTTTCTTCAGTAAAGCGAAAAAAAGGAAATTATTTACTTGAGACAATTAAGTCCATTTTTGAGCAATCCAGCTATGAAGAGCTGAAGGAAATTTCAGTGGTGGTTCACCTAGCAGACTTTAATTCTTCCTGGCGTGATGCCGTGGTCCAGGATATTACACAGAAATTTGCACACCATATTATTGCAGGAAGATTAATGGTTATACATGCTCCAGAGGAATATTACCCAATCCTGGATGGCCTTAAAAGAAATTACAATGATCCAGAAGATAGAGTCAAATTTCGTTCCAAGCAAAATGTAGATTATGCATTTCTGCTTAATTTTTGTGCCAATACTTCAGACTATTATGTAATGCTTGAAGACGATGTTCGATGTTCAAAAAACTTCTTAACTGCCATCAAGAAAGTCATTGCATCCCTAGAAGGAACTTACTGGGTAACTCTTGAATTCTCTAAGCTTGGCTACATTGGTAAACTCTATCATTCTCATGACCTCCCACGTTTGGCACATTTTTTATTAATGTTTTATCAAGAAATGCCTTGTGATTGGCTATTGACTCATTTCCGGGGCCTGTTGGCTCAGAAAAATGTGATCCGTTTTAAACCATCTCTCTTTCAGCACATGGGCTATTATTCGTCATACAAAGGGACGGAGAATAAGCTGAAGGATGATGATTTTGAAGAGGAGTCATTTGACATTCCTGATAACCCCCCTGCAAGTCTGTACACCAATATGAATGTGTTTGAAAATTATGAAGCAAGCAAGGCTTACAGTAGTGTTGACGAGTACTTTTGGGGAAAACCACCTTCAACAGGAGATGTCTTTGTGATTGTATTTGAAAATCCAATTATAATTAAAAAAATTAAAGTAAATACTGGAACAGAAGATCGGCAAAATGATATTTTGCACCACGGAGCCCTAGATGTTGGGGAAAATGTTTTGCCTAGCAAACAAAGGAGACAGTGTTCTACTTACTTAAGACTAGGAGAATTCAAAAATGGAAACTTTGAAATGTCAGGTGTGAATCAAAAAATTCCATTTGATATACATTGTATGAGGATATATGTCACCAAAACACAAAAGGAATGGCTAATTATTAGGAGTATCAGCATTTGGACTTCTTAGCCAATTAAATCAGTATGTTCGGTTTCTGAAGCAGGTCTTCCTGTTTCCTCTTTTGCTACCTTTGTCTTTTGGAGGGAAAGCAATGAATGGGATATGTTAAAAGAAACATTAATTACATTGGCAGTTTTCATTTATACATTGTTGACATAATTTTACTTTTAATACACACTTGTATTTATTTTAAGTTCTGAACTTGAATATCAGTCTATAGCTAATGCTACTTTTATTTATTTTTTTAATGTTCTTCGTTTTAAACTTTCAATTGATTGTCAAAAGGGTAATATGAAAGATTTTAAATGAAAAAAATTTGTTGGATGGTGATTTTTGAAAAATTGTCACCAATTGTATATACTTTCTCAAGAACTGATAACTCATTATATTATCAGATAACTTTTATTACGCATCTGTGGGAATATGCAGTTGGGATTATTTTTTATATCAACTTAAGTTTCCATTGACTTCTATATATCTACAATGAATACCTCCTCATAGAAGTGGTGTCTTTACAACAGAATTTTTTGTGTAGGTGAGACTATGAAAAAAGAAAAAAAAAACTTAAAAATATCTCTCCCCTGATTATTTATATGAAAGGGGACATTGTTCATTGTTTAAAAACATTTAATTGAGCACCTATTGTTAATACGTTTTCTGAGGGAAGCAGTCTTTTTCTAGTTTCCCTTTTGCAAAAAAAAAAAAAAAATAGTTAAGCTCAATATTTTCAGGTTACACTGAATACCCACATTTAATAGAATAAATTAGGTAAGGCCTAGAGTAGTTAGCTCATTCGTACAGACATTTTCAGTATATGCAGAAAATTTTTTGAAATTGATTTTATACATTTTATATTAAAATCCATGTGATTGAAAGTATTGTGATTTATCATATACTTTTTGGAATTTAAATGGGTAGATTATAAAGGAAAAAAGTAAGAACCATAGAAATTAGTTGACTTTTCTAGAATTAAAGAGCTGTTTCCTACCAAGGCCAGAATGAGAGATCTGGTATTCTGATAACCAGACGATGCTCTTCTTCAGATGATTTCTCCTGACACAATTTATGTCTTCTGTGTTCTATTTGCTACATGAGTCTCAGAGAATAAGTTATGCCATCTGGGAATAGCTGGTCCAACTCTTGCATAAATAATATATCCTAAATAATGTTCTAAATGCTGCTTTTTTGGTATATGCCTCAAAATAGTAAGCACACTTGACTAAACTTTTCCTAATAGGGATTGGAGAGTGTGACTTTACAACGTGTCCATTAAAGTAATTCAGGACACCTTAGTGTGTCCTAAAGACAGTGGTTTTCAGAATGTCCTGAGCTTCTCTCATCCTTTTAGTTTTTTAATGAACAGCAAAAACTAAGGGACTTATTATAAAGGGAAATGGAGGGTGCTTCATATATGTTTAAGAAACTCAAGTATGTGTTGATATAGATGACTGTGCGTGTATGTGTGTGTGTGTGTGTGTGTGTGCTTGTGAAGGCTAGACTCCTGATAGTAAGATAGAATGAGGAAATCTTCCTGCTCTTCCTTTCCATCCTGAAACACAATCCTTAAGATTTACTGGTATGCTCTGGTCCAAACAACATTAAGATATTTTTATTTTATTCATTCTCAGCAAATAAATGAGAAACTCAGATAAAAATTGGAAAACATTTTCTTTCATTCATACAACAGCTATTTTGTATTTTCTTTATATCCAGTTACTAAAGTGTTAGGGGGAAAATGAATCTCTCATAAAATGCTAATATTTTGTGGGATATCTAAGTCTTAAAGTCATAGGAAAATGTGAACACTGCCACTAAACTATTATCTTTATCGTGATTTAGAGGATACTTGCCAGATACCTAAAAATGTTCTATTTTCTTTATTTTTCTCATCTTTTATTAACTGGCTAGTTGATGCTATTGTGTGTATATCTCAGCAGTTACAAACGGTATTTTCTTCACTGTCAATGACAAAAGGTACATAATTGTATGCCAAAGACATATAATATCAAGAGCTAGGCATGCTCCATAAAATGAATTGTAACTTTTACATATTCTACTGGGAGTGGCTTTCTAAAGATCAGCTATTGGTGTCTATCAACGTCTTTAAAATGTTTCAAGAAAGATTGCTGAGCATAGTAGTGAAGCTGGATGTTTGCTAGGAAATCGTGAAAGCAAATGTGACCCACAGAGGTCGTTTCACATTTTATCTTAATATCCTCTCCTTACTAACCTATGTTTGGGTAAGTTGATCAGTCATCCACAGATGCCTCTATGCTTTCTTTACAGGTTCACATTGGGTCAATTTTATAAGGAAAAGCCCTTTACAAATAAAGCTTCTTCATTAAGGGTCAACAGGGAAAAATATTCTCTTTCAAAAGAAAATCTGAACAATTTTTTTACATGGCCAAATGTTCTATTTCCTATATTTAGAAACTTTGAATAAGGTTCTAGTAATCTTGTCCCAGAGGCATAGAAACAAAAGTACAGTTATTAGGTTTAACTACACTCAATCTATTTTCTATTTTTAAATATTTTTGCTGTAAGTGTATATATATAATTTTTTGTTAAAAATAACCATTGAAAAGGACTGGTATGAGACATGAATAGTTGAGTCATTTAATTGCCATGCAAATAAAATGTTGACAGATTTTAAACAAAAAATATAGTATGTACCTTAAACAATGCCTCAGATTTGTATAATTTAAGCTAACTAAAAACCTTACTTATGCTTAAAATTATCCTTAAGGGAGCCTTTTCAGCATTTATGGACATCAAAGAAAAGTGTCTTGGAAAAAGCACAATGAAATTTAGAAAATACACATTTATGGAAAATACACATTTTAGTAGCAATCACAAGTGTAGATTTAAAAGCATAGATAAAGTATGTTAATGCAAGCACTTTTTCATTCCCATTGAAAACTATGACCTCGTGCTGTTTGTAAAGTAGATATTTTCCACGTACAAAAATATAATTTGGAAACCACTGTATCATTTAGATCTATTTCTTTCATATACCTACACTACGAGTTGTGAACATTCCATTTCTTAATGGACCAATATTTTCTGGGAATTTTTATAATGCTATCATAGAAAAACCATTCTGTATAATAATGGCATATAAATGAAACAAACATTTACAAACTATATGATGTGTTAGGGAAAACACCTACATTTTTAGATACTCAAATAGCACACTTCATGTCAATATTTCCCAGTTTGTCAACAAGTTTATGGCAAAGAACACGATACCCAGGATTAACACTGAAAACACTACACCCAAAGCCATCTAACAACTGATGAAGACTGTGTAATACTCTTCCTTTGCCTTGACAACACATCCATTGATACATTAATGGTACCATACTATTGAGTAACAGAGCTCACACTTAAACTTCATAATATTTATTATGTGATCTAATGATAAAATGATTTACCATTCTGTACAATTTCAACTGATTTCTGGGGCTTTCTTTTAATATTTAATACGAATTTTAGGATAATTCTATTCTGTTTCTTTTGACTTGTGATCCCACACTTTCCAGATCTTGCTTATTTCATTCCATGTCTTATTATACCTTCCCAGCACTATGTTCAAACAAATTTAATGTGCTTCTTCATGGAAGACAAAGCAGAAATTGCATGCAGACTTGAGTTAGAAACCTAATTCTGTATTACCAGTGTCCAGATGTGAGGAAATTTACTTAGCCTTCTTGAAACTCAGTTTCTACATCTGTGAATAGGAATAATTTTACCTAGTAGCATTTAAAGGTGGCAATTTTACCTTGTAGCTCCTTGTAGAGCTGGAATTGAGATAACATAAACTAGGCATATAATAAATATTTTTTTCCTTTTTATCCATTTCATGTATATGTAACAGGATATAACCCTGGAAAACATTACCAGAGGCCTTCTTCCTAATCAAAAACAATTATAAAATTTACTGCCCATTAAAAATGTTATTCAGCCTACCTTTTTGTATTTTATAATTCCAATGTCATGTGGAATTATATAAACATTTTCCTAAAATGAACATAGATTCCTGTCATTCCAATTTATTCCTCTAGAAACTTTATCAAAAATATCAAAATGCCCCTAGTGCTCTCATCACAAATAATAATATTCATTTCTGTTTCAAGAAACCTCAACACATTTACGTTGAAACAAATATGAAGTCATTTTATAATTTATAAGATTTTGTACATATCTACCTTAAGCTCAGAGATGCAGTCTTCAGAATCTTTTTACTTTTCTTTTTTTTTAATGTCAAGGTCTGGTTTTCTAGCATCTTTTCTATCACTGGCAAAAGTTATCAATGCACTGACCTATAAATTACGTGGACAATGATCTTTGAAACAGGTAGCTTATCTCCTGGTCTACTTTGAGTTTCAATGTTGAGTTTTCCACTGCTTTGAATTTCTTTGTTCAGTTTGGGGTTATTCTTTTTAGGAAGGAAAAGGTCATAAGAAAATTCAATGAGATTAGTTCTTGCCATTTATTTCTTGTTTGCTTTTAAACATTTTTTCATTTATCCCAAACAGAGGATACATATTTTATTATATTTTTTACATGCTTTGAAATGATTTCATCATTGTATATGTGCATGTGGATCTACATATGGTTAAATCTCTCAATCTATGTGTATGTATATGTGTGTATATATGTATGTATACTTGAATATGTGTGTGTATATGTGTGTACATATATACACTTATGTATTTGTATATGTGCTGTGTGTGTCTGTGTATGAGAAAGAGAGAGAAAGACAGAGGGAGATACATCATTTGCATTATTTTTTAGCCTTTACACCTCCACTTATTCTTGGATTTTCCTGACACATTGTCCTCTTGTTTGTGTCCCTCTTCTGAACTTGCTTTGGCTTTCATGTTCTCACACACATATTTTAAACATGACATACTCTGAAAATCATAACACATTAGAGATTTTTGTGCATCCTTTTAGATACTTTAAATTTCTTAAAAGTTTACTAGAGGAGGCCATCTCAAAAAAGAATTTGTCTTTAAGAATTTCATGTTTCGAATTTTTATTTGAATGCTTTAAAGTTTAAAGATCAAAATATGAGTTGCAAAGTATTCTTTTTCTAAACTAGAAAAGTATTAAGATATCAAGATTACACTTTCCTAGAATTCTAGTCCCTTCCACCTCATTAATCTGTTTCTCATGTTTACTCCAAGTCTGGGGTAGAATTTACTTCAGTAATTTCAATATTTTCTGAGATGTTTAATGTCCCATTTTTAACGTTGAAATTGAAATGTATATTTGAGACCATTTGCCACATAACTGGATCTGAATATCTTTTCTAAAAAACATGGAGTTGAGAACAGTGTGGTTTTTGATTTGACTCTTGTTTCAGCTTTCATTTCATTCTGTCTAGATGCTATCTTGGAAGATTTACCCAAATGTTAAATTGTTTATGTGAGAAAGTGATATGTAAACTGTATATGCCCAGAGAAGTACAATTACATTAAGAGTATATTAAGATCAAATTTTCATATTATATTGGATTAAAAAGTACCCTAAATAGCCACTCCTTTAAAGTAGGTGAGCCAAAGACATAATAAAATATTCAATATTTTTCTATGAAATTAAAATTTCCATGAGATGCACACACACATTAAATTTGATATGAAGAAATTGTTGCAAGAGTTAATGGTGAACAACAACAGTGAATTACCAAGACTCAGAAGCTTACTCTATAATTTCAATGTACTGTATGTTACTCCAGCTTTAACCACAATAATTGGCATAACCTATAATCATTCCGCCCAACTACAAGTAATTACAGTTTTGATGTATAAAAATTGCCAAAATCAATGCATAAATAAAGCAATAGAGGCTGAAAGCATTCATAATTGAAAGCTAACTATTGTAAAACTATTTTAAATATTTAATTTATAGTGCACTCAAAGTTCTGGAAGAGATATAGGGATATGTCTCTTCCATTCTTTCCCTCACTTTACTACATATCATTAAGGTACCTAATCCACAGCACAGAGATATGTGGCAGTTCCATTTTCAATCAACAAAGCTGTAACTCTATTAGAAACTAGACATGTAAAAAATACTTTTATTGTAACTTCATCTGAGTTTTCTCATGGAATAATATATGATCATTTTTCTCTATAGTATGTTCTCAACTGGAAAATGTTTAAAGTAGTACAATCTCATTTTTCCCCATAAAATACCCCACATTTGTTTAACTATTTGATATAGTCCTATTTTTTCCATCTTTAATAATGGATAAGATTTTCCCTACTTTTATTTTCTGCCACACTTACACTTTGTTATTCCACATTGTTTACTTACTTCATCAATGAGTGAAAGCATAGTTCCCACAAGTTAGAATAATTATCTCAGATCCTTTATCATAATTGTCCATCCTTTAATCCGGTTTTCAATACAAGTAACACTTGCAGTCTTACAGTTGTGTGTTTTTTGTCACAAAAGGACCACATTACATGATATCAGTAGTTGTCAGGAGTTATTCACTACTGTTAGAAAATAAACTCAGCAATAGAAACTATACCCCACACTTCAACAATTAATACTGTTGAATGATATTGAAGTATTATATCTTTAGTTTTAATAATGAAGCAATATATTAAAAATAATTAAACCTCCAAAACAGTATTTTTATTTTTAGAAATCAGTCTCAATTTTCAAAAGGGCACTTGATATCTGCCAATAAAATGAACAGTTTTTCACTAAAGAAAAATATCTGTAAGTTTAGCTCTGTGTAGAAGTACATAATAAATAAGTTTTCAGTTTTGAAAAAAAGTTAAAATCCTCATAATACAGTTTTAACTTCTCGTCTTAACATTTCTTAAGCTCTGAAACATAAGTAACTAGTAACATTTTTTTTTATTGCATGTCTTATCTTTACCAACCATAATTTGGTAAACAATCATGATCCAAATCACTTACAAGAAGCAATTATTTTTGGAAAAACATTTAGAAAATTTGTCACAAATTGTCAAGAAGATTTTCAAGACATATATATGAACTGTCTGTAATTTAATGGTTGGGGATATTTTCAGTTAAATCCATAAACCAATGTACATATTATCCCCTCTAACTTCCTGCTGAGTTACTGTAGTCAATCATAAATATTGTCAAAGTAGAAAAGACATACTCACCCAGAATATTCCCAACAACCTATCTCTCATTCAATTCCTACTATTGACAAAGTATTATTTTCAATTATTGTGGTAAGGAGGCCTTGCTGAGCATCCAGATGTATAAAAATAACAACAGGGGAAATGTTACAAACATGAGGTAAAAGGATGCAGAGGAAAAGTTGTACTTCATGATGTTGCCTAAAGCAAGTTCTTTCCTGTCAGCATTGCAAATTACCATGGCTAGACTTGCTTGTATTCAAGCAAATCAAAATTTGACTCCCTGAGAGTGTCAAAAGACAATTTCAGTACATATCTAGTGTTTTTACTTACTTGAACAAACAGGTCAAGTTTATTCTTAATGAAGTTAAAATTGCAAGTTAAACCTGAAGCTCTTTTTTTGCCATTTTATTAAATGGATAAACACTTTTCTGCCATGGGATGAACTACAATGAGGTGTTTGAATTGATTTGGACAATTATGAGTCATGTGTTTCCTATAAAAGTGATACAAAATGTAAGTGTCCTTCAAGTTAAAGCAATCTAAACTGATCATCTTTGAAACATTATTAACATATTTTATAATATTTGTTTCCTAGCAAATTTTTCAGCTGTCCAAACTAATTTAGCTAAAGCTATGTATTATCCATCAGCATATCATCAAATAAATAGATGCTCAATAGTGTTGATCTGATGCACTACTAAAATTAGTTACCATAAAAATTACTTTCCTTTTTAAGAAGAAAGTGACATTTGTTTAATTATTTTGATATTTTGTTCTTATGAATATAGGTATTATATGAACGTTAATTTTGTTATGAATAATTAAATTTATTATAAATACACTAATTTTTCAACATTCTTGATTTTCATCAGTAAATTGAATAACCATTGTTGCAATGAAATTTATACATTTCTCTCATAATAAGAAATTTTACATGGTACGATTTCACTTAACACAAACAATAGTACTCATGCCACTTTTACATTTTATTTTAACTTTAATCTCATTATTTATGTGATTAAGTTTGCAATTTTAGCCACCCATTGGTTAGGAGCAATAGAGATAAACATTATATAAGTAGGAAAACACATTTTTAGTTAGTTAAGAAACAAGTTGTACATACATACTACATCAACATTTCAGATTAGTGAATTTATTATCTTGCTGAATAAACTTAAATAAAAACATCAGTTATTTTTCTTTCTCTCTCTCTCTCTCTCTCTCTTTTTTTTTTTTTTTTTTTTTTTTTGAGACAGAGTTTCGCTCTTGTTACCCAGGCTGGAGTGCAATGGCGCAATCTCGGCTCACCGCAATCTCCGCCTCCTGGGTTCAGACAATTCTCCATCCCTCAGCCTCCCTAGTAGCTGGGATTACAGGCATGCGCCACCATGCCCAGCTAATTTTTTGTATTTTTAGTAGAGACGTGGTTTCACCATGTTGACCAAGATGGTCTCGATCTGTTGACCTCGTGATGCACCTGCCTCGGCCTCCCAAAGTGCTGGGATTACAGGCTTGAGCCACCGCGCCCGGCAGTTATTTTTCTTTGAATTCTTTAAGGTTCCTCCATTTGATTTCAAAGCAAAATGACATCTGGATTGTAAAAGCACTGTGAATTTGTAATAATCTAATCACAGTAAATTCAATTAGTACTTTACTAAATTTCTTATAGTATACTCAAGACAAATAATTTATTGAAATAAATATGCTTAGGATGGTAGTTATTTTAATGCAGAGTTAAAAATTACAAGACATAGAAGAGTTATAGCTAGATAACACAAAACACTCCCAAGTTTTAAGGTAGCCTAAGGAGATTTATAAGTCATGTGCCTACCTTCACAATCAATTCAACAGCTTTTACCGACTTGACACAATAATTTAGGGTATATTTCCAGACCACAAGATAAAACTAAATTTTGGCAATTTTTACCAGATGATTCAAAATTTATCATTTGATTCGTTTCTTATTAAAACTGCCTGTAAATCTACTAGAATAAATAAGAATATAAATAATTAGATATTTGTTATATAAACAAAATTTATGGAAAAATGACAATTTCATCTGATTTAATCAATTTGTGTGACAGTAAAGATATTTAGTTCCATTTGACAATTAATCTTTATGAATTAATTAATTTTTATAAATTTCCTTAGGAATTATGTAGTTAAATTATATTAGTATTCCATATTTATTGAAGGGTAAAGGTCACAGAGTGGGAATAAATTATTTAGGTCTGGAGAAAAAGCATCTGGGGCAACAAAAAAGGAAACAAATATAACAAATGCCTTCTAATTTACAGATTACTTAATGTAGGCTTAGCACCAAGAATAATGCTTACTATGTAAATATGTTCCGTGCAACTATGAGACACTGTGTGAAGATTTCATGTTCATTATCTAATAGATTAAACAACTATATAAGGTAAGGGCTAATAGAAAAGCGAAAAAGCATATGAAAAATAGGGTTTTACTAACTTGTCTAAAGTCACATGACTAATAAATGAAAGCGAGATGACTGGATTTCAAGTTTGTGTAATTCAAAATCTATGCTCCTTATCACTATTACACATTGCCTCCTAACTATAATAATTTATTGAAAACCCATTTATCTATGATGAGATTTTCAGAAGATATGACTATATTAAAATAACACTAAAAAGCTGAAAAATGAATTTAAATAATTAGTAGTTTCTTCCTGTAAAATATTTTTTCTCTTGAAACATTTCTTAAACTTGAACATCTAAAACACTTGCTTCTGTAATTTCACCAAAACACAACTTAATTTCTGTTATTCCAATAGAAAATAAAAACTCATGGGCTCTGGACATACTGAAAGATTCCAAAAATTGTAAGTTTGAATTAATCACATAAAATTTTTTAAATTTCAGCTCTTATTTTGGATGTTGGAAAACATCGGTAAGTCCCAAAGTTGCATTTATTGACATAACTTACATGTATGGGTATTTAATATGTATTTGGTAATCTCCTAATCGGTACTTCCATTACCCATTAAAGTAATGATTATAACAAGTCATTTTATAATAATCACCCATAAGATTTATTGAAAATGTGTGTTTCAGACTTGAATTCTTTCCTGTAAATCTAGGATAGATTTAGAAATTGGCCCTTTTAATGTATTTTAGTTAACACTGATATAGATTGTCCATTGACTCCTTTTAGAAACACTGCATTAAATCCTCACGTCTATGAAGTATTAAAATAGAAATGAATATTATTATTGCTACTTGGTGATGAGGAATCTCAAAGTTTAAGTGATGCATCAAAACTCTGACCTTGTTAGTGAACTCTTAAACCCAGTTCGTCTAAATGTTGTTATCCTCTGCTCACATTTGTTTAGATTACCAGTTTTTAAGTCCCGCTGTTCATTAATATCTCTGGCAAAATATTTCACCTATTCCTGAGCTCCATGCCCAGAATAATCATAATTGTTCTGGAGTTTTCAGGCATCCGCATACTTTTAAAATTCTTCCTGGCCGGGCGCGGTGGCTCAAGCCTGTAATCCCAGCACTTTGGGAAGCCTAGGCGGGTGGATCACGAGGTTAAGAGATCAAGACGATCCTGGTTAACATGGTGAAACCCCGTCTCTATTAAAAATACAAAAAAATTAGCTGGGCATGGTGGCGCGTGCCTGTAATCCCTGCTACTCAGGAGGCTGAGGCAGGAGAATTGCCTGAACCCAGGAGGCGGAGGTTGCGGTGAGCCAAGATCACGCCATTGCACTCCAGCCTGGGTAACAGGAGCGAAACTCCGTCTCAAAATAAATAAATAAATAAATAAATAAATAAATGAAATTCTTCCTAAGTGATTTTAACGTGCAGACAGATCTGATAACCACGGAGCAACTGAAAAAGGCTGCACCACAGTAAAGTTCCTAAACTTCTCATTTATCCAGTTGGAAAGGTTATAGATTAGAAAGCATGATAAAATTTGTAGATTATTCTGTGTTGTTTCCTGCCCTTTTTAGGTATTTCAATACTATTATTGCTGTACTGAAAAATAAAAGTTCCAGGCAAGTTTTTTATGGCTTTGTTGAGTTTGTAGAGAACATGCTGCATGCCTTCCTATTGAATCTGGGACTCTCATTTTTAGAGAAATACCTAAGTGATCTGTTTTCCTGAGTCTTGACATATGGACCTTATTAATTAGAGACCACAAATCCACTTTTAATTACATAAACTCTAATGATGCTACCCTTCAGATGGTTAAAATACAAGGATATAAACAGATTGCCTTCAATCCACTGCTGTTTATAAGCTGAGCTACTTTCCTCTTTCCAAAAAATTAAGTAAACATATTCAAGAAAGAAGGAGAAAAACTATTAGTTTTCCACAGTGGACTTTTTTCATAAATGCTTCAAATGTCAGCATATATGTCTTGCCTAATTTAGTCATAGTCCATATGATCCAAATCCCCAATTTACTTGTTTTTCTTTTTCCAAGAACTGGGTACTTTAAAATATAGTTGTCAAATTTTCAAATCTCAGATAGCTGAAATAGAACAAACACAAGACTTACTCTAAGTGTTTAAAAGGTTTCTGGTTATTTGATATAGGCCTCAATATATATTTCTACAAAGGAAATAAAGTATTTACACAGATATCTATAAAGTGTATGAGACTTAAAAGAAAAGCAATGAATGTGAATTGTGTATGTAAATATACATACACAATTCACATACACATATTCACACATAGTTACAAGGATTCCCCTATATCAATTCCAAGTCAAAATTTTCTTAGTTATATTTAACTAAAGAGAAACATGACCATTTAATTAAAATCACTTTTTAAAAATCTAATCATCGATTTTTTTGAGGTCAATAAATACATTATTTTAATGCTCTGTCTTATTCAAAATATTTTCTACACAGTGTCACTAGCTAAAATGAGGCATTTTTTCATAAATGGAAAATACCCAAAAGTAATCATTTGAGATCAGTTTCATCTCGGACTCACATGATTTTCAGATCTGATCTGCATAAAATCATATTTTCTGGAAAACTCATTTATATTACTTATTTTCTCTGTGTAAACATTGCAGAAAATTGAAACTAATAAGCTTGAATTTATGGGTTTTATATATTTTAAAACATAATGTTTAGAGATTTCTTATAATTATTTGATAGCTTCAAGAGAACCAGTTTTTTCCTTTAAACATTCCATTGATTAATTTTAAAAAAATAACATTTTTTTCCTTAGATAAAACGAAACTTGTTCTTAGGCAAACATCATTTATATAAACCAATTTATAGTTGAATACTCTCAATTGATAGATTCTGACTTACTAGATTTACCAGATTTGTTCACAATTTTACTACTAGTTGACATCAAAGAGGAAAAGACAGAACAATGTTATTTCTTTAGGATCTAATACCTTTTTAAATCATCCTGCAAGTGTGTAAATTCAAAATAAAACCTATATTTTCAAAGAACTAAGAATTTTTTAAATGTTTTTGGTTATGTAATTAGAGTGCATAGTGGAATAAAACAGTCAGGTTTGATATTTTCACTGACAGATGATAAAAAGACAACTTTGATTAAATACACAAATATTTTTATAAAACCTCCAAAGTTTCAAAGTAGATTGATGACGAGTAATAATTAAATAGAGTGGCATAGTTATATGCCAGCTTAAAAAAAGAGAGACTTGCAGCTTTATCCACAACCTTAGCAGAATATAAGAAAGAAACTGTGTCCAAATCAGATAAAGGTAAATGAGAATAAGTTGTAGAAACTGACCTTCAAGTTAATAATTAAATGAGATGGTATCATTTTTTTCCATCTTGTTATTATTGTTTAGATCTTTAATAATGCAGAAATTAGTATTTTATGAATTATTTTGGATGCAATTATAGTGAATAAAAACCATAATATAAAATGTATCATAATAGAAAATTAATGCCTGACACTTCTAATTACCTAACATAACTTTTTATGTATTTTTTAATGTTATTTATTTGCCAGCTATTTTAGGAGTGTCCTCTGTATCCTGGGCATCTCTTTATATCCGGAGACCTATGAGACACCTTGTATAACTATTAGGATATAGTATAAAAATTTGTCCATTTTTAAGTGGAGAAATAATCAGATAAGCGTAAAAATGATGTAGCAATTTAAGTTCTATAAACTTGACATGAACCATGACTCAGAGAATTGAACAGAATTTGACAATTTTAAGTTTTTAAGTTAAACCAAAGCTGAAATTTCTAATTATTTAGAAACTAGCAAAAGTTCTTTTTCAAATTCAAGTGAGCACTTCATGAAAGGCACATTTTCTTCACACTGACTTCTTCTGTTTCAATGTAGACTTGTTCGATTGTTCAGTGTGTCCTTATACCTAAGTTTATTATTTTCATAATAGTAAGAGAGCAACAAATAAATGTTACAAGCAATAAATTTTATAAATAGTATTCTCTTAAAATTCAACACCTCACTTTAATTGGAAAGAAAATGTGCCTACAGAAGTTAAAGCACATTCTATGAATTTTAACCTTAGGTGCTAGAAATAATCCATGACCTCCACATTTGAAAGGGAATAGAAAAACTCCATGGTTTTCATTGTAATCCAAGGAATATCAGTCATAGTTTATTTGCATTTCTCAAGGGCTTTCTGGGACCTCACTATGTTACATAAAAGTGAATTTAGTAATAGGAATTTCAGACATTATCCCACAGATGGGGTATCTATTTTGGGATGGAGAACTTTTAATAAATCATATTACTTAGGTGGCCTCTGATTCTACTTCTCCATATGGCAGACGCTGCAGGAAAAAAAAATGATGCCTATAATATTTCTTCTTTACCACAGAACTGTCAGAAGAAACAGTAGAGAAAAGCTTAAAACTAAGCAAAAATAATTGTAGTTTTCAGAAGAGCAGCAATTTTTCTGGTGTATATGTAGGATAAGAGTATCTTACCTTCCTTAAATAGTGTTATCTTTATCAGTAACATGATATATTTGCCTTAACCTAGTCAATTTCCTTTACCTGAATTCCCTTACATTTAAAAGCATAATTTTGCAAGGTAAGTTTCTAGTCTTAGGAATGCTGCTTAAGAACCTGAAATAGAAAGATACTATTATTTCCTCCTACTATTAAAATCTCTAAAATTTTCTTCAAAACTAGCATTCTATATATTCTGTGGCCTATGTGATCATAAATCCTTATGTAACCACAGAGAAAATATCTTAAACATTTATCTTACAATTTTGCAAAATAGATAAAATATTTTGGAATTAAACTAATTTCAAAATTCACAAATTTCTATGAAAGAATTTTTAGCAGTACCTACAGATGAAAAGAATCATACCATTTAGTATCTCTGTAGAGCGTCTTTTCAATAACAGAATCTAATCATAGCTGTTTTATAATCTTTCCTAATTTTTCATATATTTGATAAATCCTGATGTTGCTTTTCTTTCTATTCAAACACCAGTAATTGTTTTATGTCACTTTGACTTTTTCTTATAGTTTTGTTTTCTGCTTGTTTGATTTCTCTAAATTATCATAGTTATAATGAGACCTAGGCAAACACAGGTACATCATGACTATCACTTTGGGGTGATACGATGTACCTAATATGATTTTTTCCCATTTTATTCTTGATGTATATTGTTGCTTACTCTTTTGTGTACACATATACTTTAAACATGTGCTCTCCCCAGCATTCTGCTTTCTCTCATTTTACTTATTATGTTGACTTTACTGTTTATGTATGATTTAACACAAATAGTTACTTACACAAATATTTATACAAATAATAATTATTATCACCCACCCCACTTACACATTAAAACAAGCCTTCATTGGTCCTGGGATTATAATTTGAATTACATTATCTGTGCCATTAAACAATCTTGAGCCTCAATAATATCTGTTCAGAATTTTTTAATGGCCATTGTTCGTTGGTAATTACATTCTGGGGACATGCCAACGTCTCATGGTTTCTCAGCCACACATATTTGTTAAGAATCAAATTCAAAGGTATTTGACTTGGTTTTTATGATTCATGGCAAACCCAACCATAATCTTCAGCAGATCTTTAAACTTTCTGAGCTTATGAGCAAACTCTGTGTGTGTCTGTGTGTATGTATGTATGCGTATGTGTGTTTCTATGTGGGTAAATTTTTCTTGCTAGCCTATCTGTGTTTTCATCACTATCAAAGTTTCAGTACCCCAAAATGGTTAAGAAACACTGATTATGTGCTAGTTACATTAAAAGAATATTTTTCTATATAAAAATGTTGTATTTATTCTATAGGCAAAAGCCATAGAACAATATGTACTTTAAAAATATTTATGAGGAATTAAAAAATCAATTCTTATAATTTTTCCAATTTAATTAAAATTTAAGGATGTGATTTTGTAATAGCCTCCAAAAACATTTGAAAGCACCCAAATAATTAAACTAGTAAATGTTGCTTATAAACCAGAAAGCAAAACTATTTTCCACATGGGCAATAAAAATGTTACTTTTGCATGTAAATAGTTGTTTAAATGAATTTATTAAGTTTATATTAATTAATTCTTCTGGACAATTTGCTACTAAAAAAGATTAGTGTTTGAACTCTAAGAAATACTTGTTTTTAATGTAATTTTTAAGTAGGTAAGAAGAATATATTTCATTATTAAATAGCTACCCTGTAATACTAATATAAAAAGCTATTTACCCATTTACATTTAACTATTCAATCAATTACACAACAGTTTTAACCATGTTCTTTAATGAGTAGAACAAAACTAAAGGTCTTTTTAATAGATTATTTCATTTATATGATGAAATAAAATATCTTGGGATTAATAAAAGCAATGATGTTTTATTTTCATCTTATATAAAATGTAGTTGATATCACTGATATAATAATGCTATGGGTGAAGTTTACAGTTCATTACAAGTTGAATGTATTTAAACAGTTTACATCTTTCCTTCCTTTGTTCAATCGTTTAATTCAGCCATTCCTTATTTGCAAATATGATTTGTGTAATATATTTGGTAATAACCATACATATCATGTTGAATATTTTTGAGGATCAGAAAAGTAAAAAATGTTCAATTATTGTTAATATTTTATTTTCTCATCAATTATATAATTTAACTTCATTGGATGTTGCAAATTGTTCTGGTTCAGCCTTTATACATTTGAATCAAAATGGTCAAAGTAGTCTCTAAATTCAGACATTGACTTTGTTCTACAGATTTCAAAATGAAAGATACAGTCAGATATTTAGACCAGAATGCATGTGAAAATACTACATGAATGAATGTATTTGATGCTGATCTTGACATAACGATCTACAGTCCTACAGTAACTATTCTAACTTCACATTCTCTTTTGTGCCCACTAGTTAGAGCACATCTCACCAATTGACATTGGAACTTATCCTTTCCTAAGTTACTTTTGGTGTCTTAGGATGACTTTTGCAAACTGAAGTTTTGAGAGTTTCTAAAGGGACTGTAAGAATATTCTTCTGTGGCCGAGTATTCTACTGTGGCCGGGTGCAGTGGCTCAAGCCTGTAATCCCAGCACTTTGGGAGGCCGAGACGGGTGGATCATGAGGTCAAGAGATCGAGACCATCCTGGTCAACATTGTGAAACACCGTCTCTACTAAAAATACAAAAAAATTAGCTGGGCATGGTGGCTCATGCCTGTAGTCCCAGCTACTCAGGAGGCTGAGCCAGAATTGCCTGAACCCAGGAGGCGGAGGTGGCGGTGAGCAGATTGCGCCACTGCACTCCAGTCTGGCTAACAAAAGCGAAACTCTGTCTCAAAAAAAAAAAAAAAAAGAATATTCTACTGTGTGTTTACCACATGTCCGATTCAGGTACAGAGAAGGAATGAGTAAAACCAGATGCAGCTCACAGTCTCACTGCTTTGATATGATGTGCAATGATTTTTGACAATGAGTAATTAACTATTACGTCATGAGTTCCATCATCACAGAATAACCTTACGATTCTAAAAAAATCCCCTGGCTTAAAATTGTATTTAATTGCTGCCAATCCAAGCACCCTGACTATGCTAAACTATTGTTTTAGAACAAATGAAAAGTGTATATCAATTTGCCTATTATAATACAAGTGGAAACTCTCATGCAAACAAGGTTGAACTATTTGAACAAAAATTTAAAAAATAGGAGATGTGTTTTGATACATTGTCTTCAGTTTCTCTTACTGTATCTGGCACAAAAACTTCCTTAGGGTGAAATTTATATAGTGACAAGCATATACAATATTCTTTAGGCTGCAGCCAGAAAAAGAGACTATAGGAGGAATTATGTGGTGGAGGATAATAAAATATTAGAAATTGAAACTATACCATATACAATCATATATTATATACGTAATTATCTTGATTATAAGCTAAATTGTAAAATCCCAATATTATTAGTACTATTCCTAGACACATTCCCTTTGTTTCTTAAATTTTTACTTTCTAAAATTGGGAATCACAGAAACAGAAGATGTTTAAATGGTCATGCTAGGCATTTTTTTCTGAGCTCATAAAAGATCATTTGATCATTTAATGTGTTCTTCTCTGTAATAAGATTGTAAAAAGTTCAGTGTTTCAAGGCTGCTAAACAATGCCCGTAGAGTTGACAGTCCCAAGAATGATTGGAAAATGATGGAGTTGGATACTATAGGTCATACTTTATAAATCCGACTGAAGGAGAACGAGAATACTAATGAGAGTCAACAACCATTTCCTTACCTGCTCCCAATTTGTAATTCTTGGCCTGGTGGCACATATATTACAAGGAGAATATTGTTTTCTAATTTATAGTCAGAAAGTCATTGAGGTGACTATGACTTTGTCGTTTAAATAGTAAGCTGATTGTCTTGTTTAAAAATGCATAGTGCCCCAGAAAGTTATGTGAATAAAATGATTTCTTTTAAGTAAAGTGTAGTTTTATAAAATAAAGTGCCAAACAGTATATAAATAAATATTTACAGGCTCAGTATCAATCAAACCAGTGGTAAAAGTGAAATTTTTCAATGTATGGCTTTCATATAAAATATCATTGTGTTGGTGATTCAGTTTAATAGGAGTTTATGGTATAGGCCCATTCATGTCATATCCAAATAAAGAAAAAACATCCAGAGTTGTTCATGCCATCGATTCCTTCAGCACAGTCTTCAAATTTGTTTTCCCATTACCCACTTTGAAAGATATTTCCATGTAGAGGATAATGCAATCCATTCTACATGTGAATAATGGGTGGCACACAGAGTCATAATCATGATCCAAATTAGCTTTAAAATCACAGGAGTAGGGGGAGAAAAAAGGAATGAAGGATTAATTGATTTGCTGAGAGCTCAACACATGCTAATTCTTGTTTTACATTTTTCACCTATGTCTCTCACGTGATTCAGACCACAAATCTGTGTGATAAGTATTGTTATCCTTATTCTACCACTGACGACACAGTGAATTCAGAATTCAAACTTGAAATTCTATTTTCTCCCTGTCAATTTTACCCCCAGAATTAGATATCCTGCATGCCAGCTTTGATTCTCTTATTCAATGAGAAAATTACTTCCTTTTTGGCCCTCACCATCTTTGTCTGTATAACAAGGAGATAAGAGAAAGATGTTTGATAAAAATGTCTTCCAGTTGTATCATGTTTTCCTTCTTAGTGGGTAGTCCTTTGTAAGTCTACATAGCGCTGGCTAGTGACACATTGTGGCCACCACACAGAAAAATAAAATTACTGAGAAGTAAAGTATACGTTCTAAAAATTGGACTCTAATCAATGTAGTCAGTGCAACAATTTTCTTTAATACCAAATTGTTTTTTATGTAGTAATTTGCACAGATCTTCACAATAAAACTGTAAGAAAAGGAGAATGGGATTTTTTTACATTTCTGCAGAGGAGTAAAAAACTGATCTTGATCTAAACAGGTTTAGAAGTTGATTTTAATCCTTTAATAAGCAAAAGACTTAATAAACTTGATAAATGACAATATCAATACTTTATTTGAAAGTAACATCATAAAGAAACAAAGCCAAAATAGATTCAGTTAACATAAAAAAGAGTTAACTTAGAAGAAAATAATGAATTTCTATCTCAATTTCAGCTAGCAGAAAAGAGAAAAAAAATGCAGAAAACAATGAGAAATTGTTAGGGTGAGTGAAAGAGGAGCAGAGGTTACTCTGAGAAACTACAACACACTTATTATTCAAGTGTCTGTGTCCGATTTGAAGATGTGATTTTAATAACTGTTTTGAATAGAGTTTTGTACCCTTGTCTAAAGTAGTAAAATTCATATAGATTAAAGCTGAATACAGGTTTTCCTCCTCAAATCCAACTCAGTTCCAAGATTTGAAATTGCAGGAGCTCCTGAGAGAAATAGAAAAATAAAAGAGATGAGAGAGAGAGAGAAGGGGTGAGAGAAAGGGAAGAAAGAAAAATCTGTAACTTGAAGCCCTGTAAAGAAAAGACTTACCAAACTTTGGATTTTATGTCCCCTCCTTTTTAACATATCCAAAGTTAAATGATCTTATGAGTGTAAATCTAGTCTTCATGAAATTTTCCAGCTTGTCTGCCTTCTAGATTGACATTTCTAGTTGCTTAAGGCTTCTTCCTCAAAGCAATGGGTATAAAATATATGATTATTATTAAACAGTTATGGAAATACCATCTTTATTCCACAACTTTATCGGGTAGAACTTGAGGGTAAAATATAGTTTGGATGCTGAGTCTGCATGTATTGTATTATATTAAGTGGTTACCAGAGATTTAATAACATAGCAGAAGTAACTGAATCTTCTGCTTTGTCTCATACACTTGTACTTTTCTTATTTCAAAAACTCCAGGAAGATAAGTGTACGCAAAAATATAAAGTTTGTAAAATTTTCTGCAACTTAATCTATTTGATTATTAGTTAAGTAAGCTTAACTAAATTGAAAATGTATTATATTGCTACTTCTTTTTAACTCTCTGAAGAATACACTTATCTGTTTTTTTAAGTAGCTTTAACTTAGTCGTAACAGTTCATCTTTTGTCAATTTTAGTACGAATAATCATACCTTTCAAATAATAAAAATTAATCTTTAAGTTTTTAAAATTGCTAGTTGTAAGTGAATTTTTCAAAGATTTAATTCATACTTGCCAACACTGACTGAACAAGTAGATAAAATTAACTTTATTTAACAGTCAAATAACTTGGTGGTTTCTAGTTAGTTTAAAAGTATCAATTAATTGTTTCTCACCTGTATTTATGTCCTTCACAGGATATAGTCAACTGTAGAGACTCAATGAAAAGTATTATAATACTTTTTATGTCTGAGAAAATAAGATTGATTCATAGAAAAGTTAAATGAATTTGAGATATAGATATTTCTGACTGCTTAGACTTACACTCTATGAAACACTTAAAAAACTGGCCAAGTGTAGTGGCTCACACCTGTAATATGAGCACTTTGGGAGGCCAAGAACTCCTGAGGTCAAAAGTTTAAGACCCTACTAAAAATACAAAAAAATTAGCTGGGTGTGGTGGAGCACACCTGTGGTCCTAGCTACTTGGGAGGCTGAGGTAGGAAAATCACTTGAATTGGGGAGTCAGAGGTTTTGGTAAGCAGAGATTGTGTCACTGCACTCCAGCCTGGGTGACAGAGCAAGACTCTGTCTCAAAACAAAAACAAACAGCAACAACGACAACAACAACAAAAACACTTAAAAAACTGTAAACAATTCAGTCTTGTATTTGGAAGAATGGTGACTTGTAAATTTTGCTGTACATTAGTGACAAAGCTCTCACTCGAGTAAATATAATCTGAGTAAAATAATTTATGTCAGGTGAAAATCTTCCAAATTTGCTTGGAGAAAAAGCAACAGAAGCCAATAAGTAATGGTGGTTCCCATTACCCATTTAATTCTTTAATATCTTAAACTATTATTAAATGCATGCACCACCTGCACTCCCCTGACTGATTACACTTTAGCTGAAGGATTTCAGTTTGTATTTACACCATGAGATTTGTCTACATTCACTCTTTTCAGGGTTGATAGATTTTTATTTTTTGCTTTCTTATTCAACTCTACAGTAAAATAAAACTTGTGATTTTATTTTATGTAACAGAGCTATCTTCAGTCATGGTTAGAAGAAGGATACTAGGATAAAGGTAAATTTTTGTCTGCCTTCATAGCCAACTGATATTCGCAGGATACTTAAAAATATCTCTCAAAGTCTGTTGCTCAGCCTCTCAAATCGTTAATTCCCTTCTAGACACTACTAGAGTTCATGCATGTGATGAAAGGAAGACTAGAGGGACAATTTCTGTATGCATATCTCTGGCCCATGCCCTTCAATGAGACCCAAATACTGTTTTTCGGGATTTTTGCAATAAATAACATGAGATAACCTCATTACAGAATGAGGCTCAAGATCCTTGGCCTTGATGTTTCACAAATAATATGACTTCATTTACAAATGAAAAATAAAATTAAATAAAAATTAAACATAATCATGGCTCAACTTCCTGCCTCTAGCCCAGGTAGTATGCTATTACTATTTCTTTCATAAAAAACTGAATTCCAACAAACAGTCTTTAAGAGGAGCTGCTATGAGGGAATACAAATAATAACCAAATAATAACATATTTTTAAATTTTTGCCACCAGTAAAGGGCTCGCATTTATATTTTTTCATTTAATCTGTCCAACCAATGATTCCACACCTGCCTAAAAGGCATGAAATCAGCTTTTACAGTGGGAAGACTACCACTGAACAGTTTTGTAACTCATTACAGGATTGACTTTGCTATGTGTGTATTGGTGTATTTCTGTGCTAGTTTGTGTCAATTCAACAAATCTTCCCAAGCAATGTTACTTCAAACATTACTTGAGCATGGCAAAAGAAAAATAAAATTCTGTTGATTCAGAATCACCTTCAATCTCATGTCATAAATTATGTTTCTCTAGTCTTTGATATTGTTTTATATAAGCATGATTAGATTGGTTGAGGATAGACTTTGTTCTCATGATTTATTGTCTAATTATGTAGTTTTCCCACTGTGGCTTGGGTTAAATCTTACAAGACAAGATGAAACTAAAAACTGTAATGACACTTTTGTTTTCTGTACACCATAACAAGAAATGCTGTTGGATTGAATTGAATCTTTTATAAAGACTAGATGTAATCCAAAAAATGATCTGTAAATGTTCTCAAGTTGTCCCCAAACTATATTCTAGTAAGTTTTTCAATTGGTCCAACAGTTTTAAAAAGTTTACCTTGAGATACCCAAAATGGAAACATAATGAATATATTATCTCTATTATCTCAGTACAAACAAAACACTGAAGTTATTGATAATTAGATTCCCATGTTAGCAGAAATGGCTCATCTATTTTTTTAAGAAAACCAAGTAATAAATAAATCTACATTTTCAGTTTTCTGCCAGTGTCACAGATGGCAGCCAATTGGTTTGATTAAAAATCTGATTCTTACATGTTTGCATAGTAAAAAATAGGTTTTTCAGAGAAAATTATTATACTTCCCACTATGATCCACATAAAGTTGAAGATTATGTTTGAATTTGAAAAACAAATCCAATTAATTAAAACTAGCTACCATACAAATGTATCTTTTGCTATTGAAGGTGTGATTTCTGTTGTGACTTTTCATTAATCTAGTTTTGTAAAAATCAGACTTCCTATAAGCCAATTGAAAACCTCTACATTTTACTATATGTGTTCATGGACTTAATTTCATCAAAAATACCAATATTCTCTGTGCCCTAACAAGTGTAATTGCACTGATCTTGTAGTCAACGTTTACTGATTGAAATGTGTATATACAAAAATTATGTAAAAACTGATTAGGTGTTTCTTCATTAGATAGTACAACCAGTTATTGTAAACCTTTGTCCTGTATTTTTTAAAGTCTGCAACATGGTGAACTAGTATGCTTGATGGTTTTACTACCTGTGCCTGCAATTTATTATTCATTTGAAGCAAATAATTCAGAATTGTTCAAAATTATGAAGGTAAACAGCATAAAAACATTGTGGATTCTTTTATAAATATTTGCTTTCATCTTCTGTGTCTTATACTTGTCTCAAAGCGAAAAAAAAAAGATGTCATTTGTCTTAAGCTATGTTTAAAGGTGGTAAATGAGAGAATTTTGTGATTTATTTGAAATGGGGGGAATATTTATTCTATCCTTTCATTTTGAATCATGTGGTTATATAAATAAAAATTTCTATATGAGTGAAAAATAGATTAAAAAGCACAAAACCAGAAATAATTAATAAGCTGAATTAAATGTTATACTAAATAAAAAGTAAAAACTGACTCAAAATAATAAAATCACTGAACTTTCAAAAATTGGAAGAAATCTTGTGAGGACTATTTAATTACTGATACTTGGATTAGTTCCACCATCTAGTGGTTGAATTTTACACTTCCCGACTTGAGTGCCCCAAAGAAATTTTTTCCTAATGAGTTTCACTTTGAATATACTTTGATCTTCTAAGTTTTTTATAAAAGTGTCTGAAATAAATTCTAATTATATGAACAAATACTTATTTTAGAAAGGAAAGCATAAGTTTATTAATTACAATAGCATTATATAAAACAAAATTTTAGTTTTGCTTCATACTCTTTGTTACCATTTTGCTTTATGAGATTATTAGAAAAGAAAAAAATGAAAAATTAAAAAAAGAATATGACCCAAAAAAAGCTATAACATGCAAAATTGTAAAGACACACAAAACAATAGTCAATATTTTAAAAGTTTACATAAAGCACGAATGGAGCTTGCTATCAATAATACTGTTTATCAAACTCTTTGAAGGTAACTATGCCTAATGAAGAGTAAGTTAATTAAGCTGCATAGTAACTTTTCTCATGATTTGTCAACTAGTCATTTGTGAAACTGTGGATGTTTTGCTGGAAATAAAACTGCCCTGCATTGATGTAGGGGCAGACAAAAACTGAATCTGAATTTTCATTACTATTTTAAATTGATGGTTAAATTGAACCTCTATTTTAAGAAATGTCCAACTTGAAACGTCAATTATTCATTCTTATTTGAAGTGTTAAAAGAAATACCCTCTAACTTCTTTGTAATCTCAAATTTTATTCTGTTTTGATTCTTGGCATGTTCCTCCAAAAATGACCCAATGATTCTGATCCTACCTAACTTAAAAGTTAGGAATACCTGTTCCTCTTCCTTCTGTATTCTCTTTTGGAGTCTGCTTGTTAAAGCCAGATAAATCTCTCTCCACAAAACCAAACCAAACAGAAAAGTTAGTAAAATATTGAGGGACCAAACCACCATTCTGCTGAGGTTGCCATAAGGCTGTATTTGCTTCACTGAATTAGCAAAAATAAATAAATAAATAAAAGCCACCTGGTTCTAAGAGAGTCAGAGGGAAAAATAAAGGAAAGATGGAGCACACACACACACACTTAAAGTCATAAGTCCAAGCAATAACATCTCTCCTCACTTATCCGCAGACTTTATGTTGTCTTCTTGCTATCCCACACCACAAGTGATGTTTATGTAACCAGAATAAAACAAGTAAACAAAAAAATGTACGTAAAAATGTAAAAGAGTAACTATCTAAAGTTCTGATGAATCTTTGATATGCAAATATATATGATGATATATGTATCATTATCATTGGAATGATACATCATATATATCAATGATATGACTAATGATATATAAATATATATATATATATCATTATATAACTCATATACATTAGCCCAATTATGAAGCCTTAAAGTAGTTTCATGTCAACTTGACCCGATTAAGGGATATCCAGAGAGCTGGTAAAACATTATTTCTGGGTGTACCCATGATGCTGTTTGCAGAAGAGATTAGCATTTGAATCAGTAGACTGAGTAAAGAATATCGCTCTTACCAGTGTGGTTGGGCATCATCCAACCTGTTGAAAGCCTAGTTGGAACAAAAAAGCCAAGGTCAAATTTCCTTTTTTCTTAAGGAGAATATCTGTTTTCTCTTGCCCTAAGACATAGTGACTCCTAGATTTTGAGCATTTGGACTGCAGTCTTCACCTTGGCTCCTGTTCTCAGGCCTTCAGACTGAGGCTGAGTAACAGTACCAGCTTTTCTTGCTCTCCAGCTTGTAGATGGCATACTGTGGCCCTTCTTGGCCTCCATAATCATGTGAGCCAATTCCCACAATAAATTTTCTCTTATGAATCTATATATGCTATATAAGTTCTGTTGATTCAGTTTCCATAAAGAACCCTAACACAACCACATTTAAAATTTTTCCTAATCACTCTAAGTGTGACTGCCAGGTTTCCAGCTTGTGATTACACAATCACCAGTAAGCATCACTAGAGAGTCAGTAAATTGAAATACCTGACAGACTAATTGAGGTTCTTGATTGTAGCTCCACTGTTTTGTGCCTAAGAAGTCAATCCTCCTTTAAATCTTAAAATACAGTTTATAGGATCCTGGACTTAAAATAACAAGATACATCATATTCTTATCTCTTGCAGGAAATTTATGTTTCTGATCTTATACAGGCTCTCTGATATCAACACCTACTTAAACCACCAGATGGCAATGTAATACAAATAATAAGCCAGGCAAACATACAGGTGCTAATTTTACTCAATGAATTAATATCTTTCTCGCTTTCTTTTCCCTTAAATATATGTTTTAAATGTATATGTGTTTGTAAATTTTATTTATATTTGTCATCCTCACATCAAGTCTTTGGGGTTTTAATGATTGGTTATATGAAAAACTAGAAAAATTCTTCTAGCTAGACGTAATTTTCTTCTAGCTCCTTTGTCACAACAGTAATTAACTATTTCTAATTTTTAATTTTAATAATGGATATTATAATCCTAGGAATGGGAGAAATGTGTATGTGTTTCAGAATTATAGTAAAATTTATTTACAGCACCATTTTCTAGAATTAAAAATTTATCATTTATTATTATTTTTATTTATTAATTTTTTTTTTGAGACAGAGTCTCGCTGTATCGCCAGGCTGCAGTGCAGTGACGCAATCCTGGCTCACTGCAACTTCTGTTTTCCAGTTTCAAGCAATTCTCCTGCCTCAGACTCCCGAGTAGCTGGGACTACAGGCACGCACCACCGCACCTGGCTAATTTTTTGTATGTTTAGTAGAGACGGGGTTTCACCATGTTGGCCAGGATGGTCTCGATCTCTTGACCTCGTGATCCACCTGTCTCAGCCTCCCAAAGTGCTTATCATTTATTTTTCTAAAAAAATTATTTATTTTACTTTATGTGCTAGGGTACCTGTGCAGATCATGCAGGTTTGTTACATGGGTATACATGTGTCATGGTTTGCTACATCCATCAACCTATCGTCTACATTAGATATTTCTCCTAATGCTATCCCTTCCCAATCGCCCCCTCCCCCCGACAACCCGCTATCCCTTCCCTAGGCTCCCACCCCACAGGCCCCGTGTGTGATGGTCCTCTCCCTTTGTCCATGTGTTCTGATTGTTCAACACCTGCTTATGAGTGAGAACATGTGGTGTTTGGTTTTCTGTTCTTGTATCAGTTTGCTGAGAATGTACAGTCTATTTTTCAACACAATTAAAAGACAGTAAGTATATCCTTTTCTTAAAATCTACTAAATATAATCTCATTCTTGTTAATTACAAAGGCACATGCTATGATTCAAGTGTTATGGAGTACGTGGGTTTGTACCTCAGAATGGACAATAACTCTCCTCATAAGGAACTGAAAAGAAAGGTCCCCAGTGTTACTGGAGCTCATCATTCCATAACCACCACCACCTCCACCCCTGCCCCATACAATGAGGTTTGTGTGACTTTCTTGGTTCCCCTATAAATTCCTCAAATCTATTTATGTTTATTTACTTTCTGTTCAAACATGTCTAAGAATCTATTTTAACCCTTTTTCAGTGCTTTAAGAAGGTTTAAAAAGTTGGAGAGGACTCCATTCTCACCACTCCTATTCAACATAGTTATGGAAGTTCTAGCCAAAGCAATCATGCAAGAGAAAGAAATAGAAAAAGCGAGGTGAGGCTCCTTTGTCCCAAAAAACCCACTGAAAGCTCTGGGAGGAGGGGGCTCTGTAACTCAGAGTTGTGGACCAAGCAGCCAATCCAGTATCAGAATCAAAGATCAATGGCACCAGAGCAAGTTTGAAAGAACTCCTCTCATTGGATTAGAACATGAATGGGAAGGGAATAACTCAAGGGTTAAAACTCCAGCTGTTCCCTACTAACACAGATTCCTTCTCTGGGCCCCCTCCCACGATAGCATGGAAGCTGTCTTTCTTTCTCTCTCTCTCTCTCTCTCTGTCTAATAAATAACTTTTTGGCAAAACTCTCTGGGTCCATGATATTTATTCCAACAGCAAACTCTCCACCCTCCTGGGCCATGGGCCGTTTCCTCATTCTTTGGGTTCAACAAGGTCAAGAACATCTTCTGAACTGGGAGCTGAGTATGTTCCCTCTAGTTACAACAGAGTGAGACTCTGTCTCAAAAAAAAAAAAAATGGGCAAAGGACATGAATAGACACTTCTCAAAAGATATACAACTGGCTGCCAAACATATGAAAAAAATGCTCAGCATCACTAATCATCAGAGAAATACAAATAAAAACCACAGTGATATATCATCTCCCACCAGTCAAAATAGCTATTATTAAAAATACAAAAAAAAAAAAAAAATCAGAGGCTGGTAAGGATGGAAAGATAAGGGAACAGTAATATACTGCTAGTGGGAATATAAATTAGTTCAGCCACTGTGAAAAAGTTTGAAAATTTCTCAAAGAACTTAAAACAGAACTACCATTTGACCCAGCAATCTTATTACTGAGTATATACCCAAAGGCAAATCAAGTGTTCCACCAAAAAGACATGGATTTTCATATGTTCATTGCAGCACTAGTACCAATAGCAAAGACATGTAA